TCGATCTATTCGTCGTCCGACCTCTGATCGACAAACCGAAACTACCATCGTGTTCGTTGTCGAATGAGGAACAAAACCCCTCAAACCTTTCATCGAGAATCGTCGCCGTTTGTCGTTAAATTCAGTCGGAAGTATCGTCGGTAATAACTCGATTTCAATTGATTTTTCGTCGATTCACGACGATACGATCATCCGTTTATGACACCTCCCACACCATCGTGTTCCTTGCATCGTTCCGAATCCACCGGTGTTCTCTGTTTCTCCGTCGTTGCCGGCGCGTGGAGGGGTGAGACCGTCAAAGTTTCCAACGTTTTGGAATCGAGCTCTCCACCGTTCAAAATAGTAAATCGAGCTTTGTAAGTGCCTCAAAATCGCTTAAAATAATTTTTAAGAAATTTTCCGGGAATTTTCCGACATTGTATCACTGTTCACGCGCCCACGCACCAACCTCGAGAGTGGGCATCGTCTGGTTGTAATTAATTTCTGTTTGAGTGCTATGTGTGTAAAATTCGGGTGTTAGTTTCATAAATATTTGCAGAATGTGGCTAATTTTGTAATTAATTTCTGTTAGGGTGATATTTGAGTAAAATGGTCTACTGTTGACCGTTGACTGGCATTGACCACAGTTGACCAAAACTTTGACCCGCGTTGATCGGGCATTAAACGACCTTTGACTTTGACCCAGTATACCTATCCTGACGTTTTTCGACGTTCCGAGTCCGATTCCGCAGTCCGTTTTTCGAAATTCAAAACCCGAAGGTCTCGAAATTGCCAGTCAAACCCGTTGACTTTTATTTTGACCGAAAATTCCAAATTTATGAAAAGACATATTTTATGCTTTCGACATCCTGAATCCGAATCCGAAGTCTGTTTCGCCAAATTCGAACCCAGTAAGCTGTTTTTCACTGATTTATCATCCAATTTGATCAGATTTTCAGAATTAAGCTCCGTTTTTATGTAATTTCTGTTGATATGGATCCGAGGAAATATTGGAAGTTGAATTAAAAATCAAAGGCGTTCGAATGGAATTTATATGGTTGATCAGTATGGCACAAAAATTGAGGTAATACTTTACTACCTCTTTATGCTTTATGGAACATGTTGATATTGGTAAATGCATGAATAAGATAACGTTGATCACTTTTGTGGACTTGAATAATTTATACACTCGATATGAATGTGGTAGAAATTCTGTAACTGAATACGGATCGAATGACTAATATAAGAGATTGATGAATTGTTAGAATTAAATTACAAGTTTGTGATTGGTGATAAAGAAATCAGCCCTGGATTTGTAACTTATATTTTATATCATCAAAGGTTAAATGTTAAAGGTACTTGGATGGAAAATTATGCGAATACTTCGGTAGGGTAAAATTACGAAAATACCCTTATGTTGTAGGATGACAAGAATTATCATTGGAAGTTGGTTAATAACTCTGAAAAGACATATTGATCCGATATAATTACAGATGTGCATAAGAAATGCTAGTTTTGCTTGGAAAATTTGATTAACTGGGTTTTAATGCCAAAAAGGGTTTGCGCAAGATGCTAGAAGTTTGTTAAGGAATAATTTCAAGATCAGAGAATGTTCGGCAAAGCAATTGACCATAAGATCTTTAAATTATAATTATTTTCGTTAAGAGCTAATATCGAAATTATCTGGTTAGGAAATTACGAAAATACCCCTGAGAGGTAAAATAGTCCGAGTTGACCCTAAATGAGAAAGTACTTTGAGAATTTGTACTTAACTCGATTAAGTACGAATTTGATTGTTAAGATCCTGATTTAGGGCAAAAAATTCTTGATATTCCGTTGGTAAAAATCTGAGAAGGCACTTGACCCGAAAATATCCGAGTTACGAGTAAATACCTGAAGAACAATTTATCGGGGTGCTCTTTTATCAAAATTGTTCGAAGGGACTGAAATAGATGATAAATTGGAATTAAATAATAAGACAGGATGAAAGAAAATGATTGAAATACATTGGATATGTAGAATGACTAGAATACCCCTATAATGGAAATGACCAAAGAATATCACCAAGGTCAGGAATGATTGGATATCCTCGAGCTCTGAAATGAATGGAATAAAACTGAACACCAAAATTACCAAAATAACCTTATGGCCTAAACTAAGTAAATGTCTTGGATTAATTAAGGAATCCAAATAAGCATAGGTTTTGGACTACCTTTAAAAGTAATGTAACACAATTTAAGTGAGTAGATCAACCCTAAAGCTATGTCAATACCTGGATGGCATAGATATTACTTGAATGTGTGTTCGTCTTCTCAAGTTTGGCTTGATGATAAATTTTGGAAGTATTCAGTTCAGCTCAACTCTAGATCGCATTCAGTACTAAGAATTGGAAGTTTGTTCGATAAATCAACCACGAATACCAAATTGAATGGAACAGAAGTACAACATGTATCTAAAATTCAGGAACGTTTGAATTACTCTGGAAAATCCCGAAGTAACTGGAATGGACATGATTGCTAAATGAACTAGGTAACCTCAATGACCAAGGATTTAGTAAGTGATTTGGATAAGTCTGGAAACTCTAATGAGTTTACATAGTGTACACTTACAATGGGTTATGAACAAAATAATCAAATACGCCAGCATTACATGATAATGTGGAAGCGTGGAAATGAAATAAAGACATTGGAAGATCTATTCAACAATGATTTAAAAAAAATGATATTTGGACAAGAATTTGTGGTATTAAAGAGTAAATACCCTGGAAGAACAATGAATTGACCAATCGACAAGCATTAGTTCTGGGAACTATTCATCTAAGAGTTATCCGATAATCCGATCAATCGACATAGAATGTAAATGTCCTGAACCTTCATATCTTCCTTATCAGCTCAAGTCACATTCTGAATAACTGATGATTCTGTCAGTTATTGAACTCTTCCAATAGTGATTCTGAATTCCGATATTCTATCGGTATACTGAAGATTCGTGTTCCTCTACTTATTAAGATTATCCAATATCTTTGAATACTATCTGTAAATTCTGGTGTGTTCCCTACTCACATGAATATTTTACTTGATTTTCGATTTGATTTCTGATATGATGCTTGACATGGATTCTGATATGATATTTGACATGGATTCTGATCTGATACTTGACTTGGATTCTGATCTGATAGTTAACCTGGATTTTGATATGATACTTGATGTGAATTATGATTTGATTTTTGATATATTTGTTTACAGACAAAACATGTTTTATTTGGGGGGTAATGTTGGAGGAAGAATACCTGGAGGCTTCTCGGCTGTGTGCTCAGGGCCTTACTGGACTTGACGCTGGGTGTATGGTTCTGGGGAACCTACACATTTTAGACTTGACCGATGGGGGTATATATATATATGTTTTAAAAAGATCTAAAAAGTTACATGATTTTTGGGAACACACTAGATAACCTATTCTGATCTTCTGAACCTAGATATCTGAAATATTTCCATGTGAACTGAATATTATCTGTTACTACCTGAAATATCAATGGGACCTTAGCTCAACCTAAAAAAATCTATAGATATCTGAACCAATAAGGAAATATATGTTTATCTGTATCTGCACGTTCTTCAGCATCATCTGGTAGTTCTGTATTACTGAGCTTTCCGAAGCTCACTCTATTACTCATAATTGCAGGTTAAAAGGATTGAACCAGTGCATTTATCGACATCAGTAAAGGAATTATTCCGGCGTTGTTTGCAGAGTATGGTACATGTGATTAGGGGCCATGTAATTGTATTTTGTTTTATATACGAGTCTGAAAATCTATTTTATTTTTAATACTAATAATTATTTTATAAGTTTACGTTTTGATAAAAAGTTTTAAATTTTCCGCTATGTTTACAGTGGGTCGCTCCGGCGGCCCTAATGTGACACTCCAGATCGGATCGGGTTACCTGTATCGGTCTGAGGGGGTTACATTTAACATTCGTGAACATGTTCGTTTATACGTTTAACCGGCATCGACACCGATTTTAATGCTGGTTGCCGCCGCTGATTATTTTTTTCTTTGTTTTTTTAGTTTTTTAATTAGAATAATTATATCTTTGTGACATGTTCTATATCTTTATGACACGTTTATCTCTGTCTTTGTGTCTTGTTTTTCTCCACCTTTTGGTAGCTTACGATTTTTTGTCATTGTTTATGATTTTTTGCTGTTGTTTTTGTTTATATTTGTTCTCAGGGTTGGATTTGACATCGTCACGACTGATTAAGATAGCGTTTATTTGTTATTATGATGATCTTTCCTTCTTTGGACACTTAGATTGATTTGGATACGCGTTTTGCGTTCGTGGATAGTTTTCTGACGTCGCATGATCTGATTTGCGATTTGTCTATGGTCTTTTATTAGCTTCATCCCATTTTGTTGTTTGTTTACCGATGCAGTAGATTTGTTCGTATTTTTATTTATTCTAGTTTTTTGTTAGGTTTTTAACCTTTTCCTTCTTTGGTCCTTATGTGATCTAGGTGACTAATTTTTGTCTTAATGGTAATAGAAAAATGTCATAATTATATGTTAGGTCTACAATTATGGCTTGTAAATTTTCATTGTAATTTTTCGATATTTTTTATTTTTAATAAAACTAACGATTTTCTTTCAAAAAAAAAATTTAGGTGACCAACATCCTACTTTTACCTTGTTTTTTTGTTTGCATGCAGAAGAACAATAGTAAAATTACATAACTAAGCCTTACCTCCTTAAATTTCACAGTTTGAATTCTAAAGTTCATTATGTGCTCAATTTAATCTCTACATTCACAAATATTTAAAATGTAAATAAAAAGGAAAATGAGAACCATATAAACAAATTTATAAACAAGCTTATTCGTAAACATAGACGAACTGAAAGTACATATGTTCTTGTTCATGTGTTTATTAAATGAATATAAAAAAATTGTTTATACTATATTATTAGCTTAATAAACCAACAATACACTAATATTTCATCTAAGGTCATGTTCCCAAATCAGTTGAAATTACGAATAGTTACCGAGACAATTGAGATACTCCGGCAAGGGAATTCCAGCCGCGGGGTCAATCTTTCTTACGAGGGCACTGCAAGGCACAACGCAGTATTCAACTACAGGTAAGAAAGGACTCAACACAATATCACCCTCCCTGTACTTTTCATCCTTGGATCTCAACACTCTTCCTATTCCAAAAGCACTTATCACCTGTACGTATGGCTTTATTATATATATCTATAAAGCTAACCTGATTAACGAGCATTACTGCTGAAGTGTAAATGTAATTGACCTGGTTAAGGGGGAACTGGTGAAGATATAAACCATCATCGACGCCGGTCATTAATTCTGGTATGAAGATAAGGTTCACCGGAGATGAAGAGAGTTTGGAGGGCAACATGGTGGTCGGGGCCGGAATCGAGGGATAATGGTGGAGCTTTAGGTGCTGCTTGGTTGTCGGTACGCCTTCCGCTGCGTACGAAGCCATGTACCTTTCTTTGCTCTCGACGATGTTCAATGCCATCTTCTAACTATCCCCTTCTCTGCACAGTGGATTGGCAATGCAATGCAGTCTTATTTAATCCAACTTAAGTTCAATTGTCGATGTGATGTTTCACTTTCAGCCAAGCATATATATGAACCGAACTTGAACGAATAAGACTATGTTCGTGTTCGTTTGTTTATATTTAAGGGTGTTTATGTTCGGTTCGTGTTCGTTCTTTTATTTTCGGAGGCGTTCGTTCATTTAACGTTCGTGAACGTCGTTTATATGTTTGTGAACATGCTCGTTTAGTGTTCACGAACATGTTCATTTAGCGTTCGCAAACATATTCGTTTAAACGTTCGCGAACATGTTCTTTTGGCGTTCGCGAGCATGCGTGTTTGTAAATGTTCAAAAATGTTACTAAATAAAGAAAATAATAAATTAAACATAATCAACTAATAAAACTCAACAATCCACAATAACAAAATACAATCTTAAAACATTATAGCAATATTTAGAAACATCCGTGAACAATTCCGTCTTAAAATATACTTGAAAATAAAATGGAACAACCAAATCATACAAGTAGCAACTTAGCAAAACGTCATCCGTCACATATCAAACAACAAAATAAAATGGCAAGCACAACCAAATTATCCCTCCTAAAACGTCAATCAATTCACCTGCAGAACCTAAGAAATAAAAACAAACATCAAGAATGGTAAAACGAAATTAGCAGCAACATAGACAATTATAAACATTTAAAGTTAGAGCATAAACAATTAGCAGTAACATAAACATTTAAAATAAAGAACTTCAAAGTATAATTACTAATAATTATACGTACAACTACTAAAGAACTAAGGCTGCGTTTGGTTCACGGAATGTAAGATTACCAGTGGGAATAAAAGATTACCAGATAATAGGATTACTGGGAATGTTGTATTTTGTGTTTGGTTGGTTTAGCATGAATGTAAGATTATCGTGTTTGGTTAAAAGAATAAAAGATTATTGGAATGTATATTTGACCAAATTGTCCTTATTATATATTTGTATAATATTACAAATTGTAAAATATTTTCTTTAAAAAATTAAATTCATAATATTTATATAATTTTTTTACAAAATTAAAAATATAAAAAAGGTTTAATGAAAGGGTAAAAAAAATTTAACCCCTGAACTTCATATAAAATTTCAATTATATACTTTTTTTTTTAAATCTAAAATAATTTAAGGATAAATTTGTAATTTAACCTTCGTAGAATTTTTATTATTCAATAACAGAAGAATGATATTTTTGAAAAAAAATAAAAATTTAAGGGCATTTTAGTCCAAAATGCCAGTAATGTTACAATACCTAAGGGAAGGGAGGTAATGACATTCCTGGTAATATACCCAAAAAAATCTACTATTGGTAATAAAACATCACCGGGAATGAGATTCCCGACCAACCAAACATGGGAATGTAGGATTCACATCCAATGGGAATCCCACAATCCTTGAACCAAAACCCCCTAAAGAACTTCAAAGTATAATAACATGAGTTAGCAATAACAATCATAACATGAGTATAATAACAATTAGCACCAACATAAACAATCATAACATAAACAATTAGCAGTTACAATTAGCAGCATCTAAACAATTAGTACTTACAATTAGCAGAAATTAAAGAACTAAAGAACTTCAAAGTATAATAACATAAACAAACTAAACAAATTATATAAACAAAACATTAAATAAACGAAACAAATGTGATCAAATTAAATACCTTTAATTTCTTCAAAGTAAAAAAATTATAAATCAGTTCGATACAATAAAAGTAAATAAACATTAAATACCTTTAAATAAACAAAACAAATGTGGTGATCAAATTATAAATTATAACTTTAAAAATCAGAGCAAAAAAAATTAAATACCTTAAAAATTATAACTTCAAAGTAAAGAAATCTCTTTAATTTCTTCTTTGTCCTACATAAAAAAAATAGGTGATCAAATTATAATTAAATATTAAATAAACAAAACAAATGCTTGAAAATTACTTTAGATTTCTTTTTCAACCCATAAAAGTTTTGATACCAATCGAAACCACAAAGTAACATATGCTTGTGTCAACACTTCGAATATATCTCTCAAATTTGGACCTTCCAGTCATAATTTTTTCCTTTCCTGGTTTACTAGTGGTAGAAGCATTACTAACACCACTTTCTTGCACGTCATTTTCCATTGATGTACCAACATTAGCTGCTTCATATTCATCCACATATTTCTTATAAAGCTCATATAAACTATCACACACAATGCGAATTTGTCTAAGAGCTTCATCTTTAGAATAAATTACACGAAACCTGAAGCTAATCAATTTCATCTTGTTTTTGGGATCTAATATAGCAGCAATAGAAATCAACAAATTGCACTCACCCCAATATTTATCAAATTGTCTTTGCATTTTCTCAGCCATTTGTCTCATTCAAAGTTCACCACTCAAAGATTTCTCCATCAATAACTCCTTGATACTCCAAAGTTCAGGAAGAAATAAATTTGAAGTTGGATATTTAGAATCTAATATTTATAAAAAGTAAAATCATGTATTAAATTAAATATCATAAATAAAAAGTAATAAATAATAAAATAAAACTATATATATTTAAATTGTTTACCTGATATAATATTGTTAACTTCATTAAACAGTGCTAAGAAAGAACAAACTTCTTCAACCCTCATCCAATCTTCATCACTTGACAAATAACTTACATCTCGTTGAACATACCTTAGAAATACATCTTTAAACTCCATTGCACATGACAACATAGAATATGTTGCATTCCACCGTGTACAACAATCTAAAATCAACCTCTTGTTTGGCAACTGAAGTTGTTTGACAATATCACTGAACATAGTCAAACGCGCAGTGGATGCTGCTATGTGCTTCACACTTTCCCTTACATTTTCAATTACATCTTCAATTTCAGAAAGACCCTCGTGCACCAATAGGTTTAAGATATGTGCACAACAACGAACATGAAATAATTACCCATTCAAAGGAAGTCTTTTATGAATTGAAAGGTTATCTTTCAACATCCTTACAACTGCATCACTGTAAGAAGCATTGTCCACAGAAATCGAGCACACTTTTCCTTCAATACCCATGACTTATAAACATTTGTACAATTCATCGTATACAACAACTCCATTATGTGGAGGAGGCACGTCAACAAAGTTCAAAATTCTTTTTTGCAAATTCCAATCAGAGTCCACAAAATGAGCTGTCAAGACCATGTATTGAATCGTTTGACTCGACTTCCACATATCAGTTGTAATGCTAATCTTATCAACTGTCGTTAACAACTCATTTAACCTCTTCTTCTCAACCTCATAACTTGTCCAACAATCAACTTTGGCTGTAGCACGAGAAATTATTACGTAGTGAGGACTTGCAGTTTTCATCAATAAAGTGAATAACTCATACTCAATGAATGCAAAAGGAAACTCGTGAGGCATTATCATGTGAGAAATAACTTCCTTGATCTTTGCTTGATCATATCTCCAAGTCTGGATACCACTCGTACTGTCAGATCTAGGGGCTTGCGGTGGTAAAAAAGATTGTCTTGTCCCTTTAAAGATATCTGACGTTTCACACAACCGTCTAAACGCCTTTTAAAATGTGTAGTCGTACCATCCTTGTTCTTCACAATTTTAATCTTACAGTGATTACACTGTACTTTTTCAATTCTATTAGGAAGCTTAACAATAGTTAATTCTTGCCAAACAGTTGATGTCTTCTTTCTATTTCTCCTCATATATGTCCTAATATCATCGAAACACTCAGGCTGCTCAGGGGTTGATTTTTCATTTCCTTCAGTGACATCCATCGGTGGTGAAGAACCAGTACACGAATAATGTCCTTGTTATGAGTTATAAGACATACCTAAAAATTAAAAAAAAAAATCAAATCATTATTAGCGGGTAACACTACATATAATAAGCAAGTTCTATAAAAGCAATAATACATATTACTTAAACAAGGTAAAAGAGAATAATATACCACAAATAAAGATCTGAAAATGTCTCCTCTGAACTCTTTGTGGCCTCCCCGAACCCCATTTAGAGACTGTTAGAAAGAGTTGGATCTTATAGGAGGATATATATTACTAATATAGAAAAAAAAATAAGAACTTTTTTACATACCTTTGATGACGTGTGATGAAGTTGAACAATGAAATATATCAAGAGATGCAACCAATTCTTGAGTTGAAGATGAAATTAATCTGCTGTTCTTTTTCCTTTTTCTTCACTCTGGTTCCTTTGAGAAGAAAACCAACAGTCAAAGAATGTGAAATCACTTAACTTATTGGGTACGATTAAATTAAATTAATTTAAATATTATAAAGGAATTGGGTACATTAAATTAAACCAATTTAAATATAAGAAAGGAAATCCAAATTAAACCAAATAGAAGCAACTCTCGAAGAAGATTAGTTTGAAATCTCCAAAATAGATTATTGAAGCAACTGCATCATCCAAAGAGGTAAAAAATGCTAACAGAAGATTGAACCAATGTCGTTTTTCTAGACGAAAAGCAAATAATTCCTATAATCCAACAATATAGTCAGCTATACAGTAACCATTTGCAAATCTAATCCCCCTTCGTGATATACCCATACAAAGCTTAGTTATATATGAACAGAATACGCAAACCTAAATTTTACATCAGAAAGTCTTAATCACACAACCTCTTTTATCTCATAAAGTATAGTTTGCTCAACTCTTGGAATTCCAAGCATATTCTTCTAGTAAAGTATCATGGACCAATCACCGAGTTAAATAGTAAGAATTTTCTATCCTACGTTAAAATAGCAGGGTTTTTTTATAGGTGGTTTAACTTGTAAATGACTGTCATTAACCATGCTACTTTCTAAGTAAAAACAACCCTGATTTTTTGCTGAAGCCTCGGATACTATCAACAAAATCATACATACGGACGAATTAAACACTTTATCTAATAAACAAAAAGACCACAGAATGAGATGACTATCCAGCTCAGTTGGTAGAGCACAAGGTTCTTAACCTTGAGGTCGTGGGATCGAGTCCCACGGAGGGCATTTCATAATTCGGAGGTCTTCTACGGAAGTTGCTCTCAACCTGGTGTTGGGGGCAGCCTACTATCTTACCTCCCTCTTACCCCATTACATATGGGAACAAGGGACAGTCATTATGAAAGAGGATCATGAACAGATAGAAGCAGCTCTAACATATTAAGCGAGCAAACCCAGGGTTTGGTTCCATTTGTTTAGCTAAAAAAGAAAGAAAAGAGAGATTGATTGATTATATACCTTGCACTGCTGCAAAACTCGAAAATCTTACAAACACAAAAAAAAATCTTGTAAAAAGATAAATGGAAGCTTCTGATTTGATTAAAAAAAAGGATACGGCTGAAATTTGATAAACTTAGGTGGCGTTTGGTTGGCATGAATCCCTTGGAATTAGGAGGAATTGAAATTCAATTCCACCACTTTCCCATGTTTGGTTCAAGTTTCCAAGGGAATTGGAATGCTTCAATTTTCCATCAAATGAGGGAAAGTGAATTCCATTCAAGAATAGATGGAATTCAATTCCCTTGTTGGAGGGAATTGAAATTTGACCATACTACCCTCATCAATCTTTTGGTAACTTATTCATATATTGAATAAAAATATTTTTTTTATTATTTCGGGTCGGGTTTCTAATTCATATATTTGAGTCGGGTCGGTTTTTTAAGTGTGATATTCGGGTCGGTCGAGTTCGGGTTTAGGGTGAAAAATACCCGACCCGAAAATATATATAATTTTACCTTATATATTTAGGAATAATTACAATAATACCCCTCTATATATAATTTTTTTCAATTATGTCACTGTTTTTATTGAATAAAAATATTTTTTTATTATTTCGGGTCGGGTCGGATCGGATTTCTAATTCATATATTCGGGTCGGGTCGGTTTTTTTAAAGTGTTATATTCGAGTCGGGTCGGGTTTAGGGTGAAAAATACCCTACCTGACCCAAAAAATATATAATTTTACCTTATATATTTAGGAATAATTACAATAATACCCCTCTATATATATTTTTTTCCAATTAAGTCACTGTTTTTATTGAATAAAAATAATTTTTTATTAATTCAGGTTGGGTCGGGTTTCTAATTCATATATTCAAGTCGGGTCGGGTGAAACTTTATTTTGGTCAGGTCGGGTCTCGAATGGAGGTTCCCTTGTTCTCGGGTCGGGTGGACCAAAAACCCGACCCATGACCATCCCTAATTGGAATGATTTTAACTTATGATGTTTATTAGCATGATTTTTATAATTTATTGAAACGAATAATCAATCAATAAAATTAAAATTTAATTTTTTTTTAAATTTTTATAATATATTGCTACATGTAATTTATAAACAAACTAAAATTAAGCAAAAAAGAAGAAGAAGGGCAATTCTGTCATTTTACATTACTGAAATCAAATTCATCTGACATGTCTACGAACCAAACAGAATATGAAATTGGATTCCAATTCAATTTCCTGCCAATTAAAAAAATATGGAATTGGATTTTAATTCCTGACAGATTTCAATTCCTTCATAGATTTCAATTCCCTCAGAAACATTATAGCGAACCAAACGTCACCTTAGAATTCTATTAAAAAAAAGGGAAAGGAAGCGTAGAAGAAACGAGCACGGAAAAGTTTTGTGTAGAAAATTGTAAAATTATATAATTGGTGCTTAAACTTCTTAGAATTTATAATTTAAACTCTATATTTTACCATGTATTCAATTTAATATGTAATTTCACTAATATTTAAAATATAAAAAATAAAACGAGCTTATAAACGAGTATGTTCATGAACATATAAACGATCTTCTAAACGAGATTGTTCATGAACATATAAACGAGCTTGTTCATGAACATAAACGAACCGAACGCACCTCTGTTTTTGTTCGTTCCATTAAATGTACGAAATTTTTTTGTTCATACTCGTTTATTTAGCTTAATAAATAAACATAAACGAACATTATACGAAAAATTCACGAACAGTTCACCTAACGCTCTATTCATTTACACCCCTAGATGTACGTATTTATCCCTTATATTCTCATCCCATACCTTTGGTATTAATGAACAAAAAATAAATAGATTTAAGGGTAAAGTACACAAATGGTCCCCGACTATAGGACATTACTTTGTTGAGTCATTTGATTATTAAAAATTATAAAATGATCCTTCGACTATCAGAATTTACTTTGTTGAGTCCCTTGACTATTAAAATTATAAAATGGTCACCAGACTATTCATATGTTCCAAACTCGTCATTTTCTGTTAAAAGTTTACAGTCGTTTGAGTTGGATATTAACCTATTGATTGGGATATGATAAAATTATTTTTTAATGATGTCTACTTACAGCGTCGTTGCTTCCAAGAACTTGTTTGACGGCATAATTTTCAAGCACTAACTCGACAACATAATGTAAACGAAGACTTGTTGCACAAAATATACCTCAAATGATTCTGGGATCAAACTTTTTCATAACTCATTCAGAAGGTTAATGTCCAGCTCAGAAGTCCGTCAAATTTTTAACGAAAAATGATGAATTTAGAACATATGAATAGTCAGATGATCATTTTGTAATTTTTAATATTCACGGGACTCAACAAAGCAACGTCCTATAATCAGAAGACTATTTTATAACTTTTAGTAATAAAATAACTCAACAACCCTACAGTTGAGGATCATTTTTTTACATATTACCCTAGATATAATGTATGTTGCTTATTATCTAATCTATAGGTATATTATCCATTCAAAAATTAATTGTCATAATAATATTAAGAAAATTTGATCTAGAGAAATGACAATTTTAAAGATAAAGATACCTATTATAATTTGGCTTCTGAACACTGTACTATATAATTTTTATATAATTTATTATAATTTTTTAAATTATAATTTAAAATTTTTCGAATTTAAAAAAGAAAACAATAATATAATGTCAACGCTACAATATTAATAAATCTCTATTTTTAATCTCATCAAAATTAATCTAAAATGTCGTGTTAGTACAAGAAATCCTCTTTATTTCACAAAGATATATCTTCGGACGGATACAGTAACATTGATAATACAAATAATCTCTCAGACTAATACAAAAAGAATAAAGATTTACAATGTACGGATGCTCGGCTGTAGCCTCTCTGTAAATTTCTGCCATGCAAATACTGAACTGTACATGATGGTCTCCCCACACGTGATGTGACGTTTACTTATACGGCATACAGATTATGGCCTGCTTCTCGCCGGCTTGCTGCTCGTCGTGCTGTGAAGCCGACGGTTGTCGGTCGGATGGATCTTTGGCGCACCATTTCGACGTAGGCCGGATCATCCGACAGCCCTTCGTGTCTTATCCACTGTATCATTCCATGGTACATGGGGAAGAAGCGCATCTGAATTGCGTTGTATAAGAAGTATGGGATAAGGGTGGCGATGACGACGAAAAGCGTAATGAACCAGTACGAAGGAGCCGGCGCGAGAGCTTCGATGAAAACTCTGTAGGCGTCGGTGGAGAAACTGGGAGGCAAGAGACCGTACACCACTTGAAACAGGTACCAGAATCCAATGGAACCCCAGATGACAATATGTTGTATCAAGGTGAAGTAACTGATCGAAAGGGCCAACTGCAGGTTCACAACCCAGACAATGCATGCGTACATCGTTCCCGTAAAGATCTCTCTACTAGCGGTTTTCCCGTCATCGTTGAAGGCCTGCTGCTCTAGAGCTCGAGCGCAGAAGAAGAATACGATTATGGCACTGTAAAATCCATTAAACATCCAGCTCACTATGCGCCGCCAGCTGAAGAGAACGTTCTGCACACCTTCTTGGTATAACAGAGGAAACTGCCACAGATTAAACATAGAGCAGAAGCAGTTAATAAAACATCCATCTCCCACAATATATAGTGTGGTAGGAACAACCGAAGACTCAAAAAGCCACCTACCTTGAGACAAAACCGTGCAGATACGTCCTGGTCGAAAACTCCCATAGCGATTACGGGAAGTGATGAGAAGAAGACATTGTAGAGCGATAAATACCAGTCGTTGTAAGCAGGCTGTGCTGAAAACGACGCGTACACCTCGTACAGAAATATTGTGAAACCGAATGCAATGTTCTTGTAGAAAAAGTAGCATATCTGTCACCACAACAATAGAAAGGCAATTAGGCCTGCAAGTCAAATTGATAACTTCTTCAACTTCAAAAGTTTTATCATCTTAATGAATCAACACTGACTAGAGCAACAGAATGAATGTATTACCATTGATGAAATTCTCCTATAACACCAATGTCCATGCACAAGTAGCAAGCGTTCTAAGTACCGAAACTGAGCAATTGCGACATCACTTGACATCACTGCCTGCGTTAGACAATAACAACAAAAATCAGTAGATTGTGGAGATTTTGACATCCTTCAGCATTACCATACTCCCATCTCTCGAATCATAAATAAAGCTAGAGGAACTTAAAACACCAGAGTCGGTGCATTATCAATTAAATACCTGCATTCCTTCCACACCACTGATTCCAATCCCAATATCTGCTTCTTGAAGCATTCCCACATCATTAGCACCATCTCCAATGGCTAACGTTGTTTTCCCGGTTCCAGTTTTTACTAGCCTTGTAACCTATGAATTTCAGTTTTGTCATTTAATAGAGAGAATTACTTACCTGAAGCAAGGACTAAATATGAAAAAGGGGAAGGGAAATAAAGAATCAACTCAGTAAAATCACCGGAAAGATGTGAACGTACCAATGCCTTCTGTTTCGGTGAGGAGCGGCAGCAAATCACAGATGCACAACCAATGGCGAGATCTAGAAATTTTTGCTTCATATCATCCTCTAGAGCATAAGCAAGTGATTTCCCATCAATAATCAAGGCAAATGCCTCGGACATTGCACTTAATGAAGAGACCTGAGCCTTCCCTGAAGCTATCTGTTCAAGGACACTTTTTCTCGATGCCTAAAAGAACAATCATTCCATCAATAAAGATACAAATATTTTTAACAATCAAAAAGAAAATTTGATACAAATTTTATAAACTATGCACAAACATATAAATTACACATGCAGACACTCATGAAACACAAAATCCGTATGAAATAATCATTTTACCTTGTTGATGGCATTCTTGTCTCCAGTTTTCTCCAATGACTGGATTTCTGGAGCATCTAAAGTGATTATAATCTGTTTCATTCCTTGTCTAAGCAAACTACAAGCGTAACTGCAAATTTATGAACTTTGGTTAGAGATCAGGGATTCGATTATAGTAAGTTTTATTTTAAGCAGTAACAGAAAAGGTGAAACTCAGGAAGCATACCCGATATTGATGGCTGTCTCCATTTTGTCTCCAGTCAACACCCATAGTTTAATCCCAGCTTGAGCAAGCTTGTCAATGCAGTCAGGGACCTGTAAGGTAAAAATAGACGAGAAATCTTTAGTCCCCTACTCTGCCTCGTTAAAAAAAAGGGTTCAATTATAATTGCGAATTCCAGCATACCCCATTTTGGAGTTTGTCCTCGACAGCCGTAGCCCCTAAGAGAATTAGATCTCTCTCAATCGTGTCTGCAACCTCGTCAATTAAGGTTTCGCGATCTGCACTAACTGAGTTTTTTGCCTCAGTGAATTTCTCGTTAAACACTTGGTATTCATTTTCTGAAAGTTCACGATATGCTAGAACAAGGGTCCTCAGTCCTGCATCAGCATACCCATTCATGTGCTCCCTAGTGTCCTCTTCAAAGTCGCGACCACTCTTGGCCAGCATTTCAAACATGACACTGCAAAGGGAAAAAAGGCATTATGATGATATGTAGTGCAACAAAAAAGGAAATAAGTGTTATTGGTTCCCCCCAAGAATTCGATTTGGTCTATTGATACTAACCTGTCGGCACCTTTGGAAAGTAGAAGAATTTTTCCTTCTTCATCTCTTACAATTACAGACATCCGTTTTCTGGTGCTGTTAAACTCTATAACATTTAAAAGTTTATATGACCTGCAAAATGAAAACTATTCAACTCCAAATGTACTTAAACGAGCGAGCCATCATTTAAGGACAACAACCTGCATGCTGATGAGTATACTACAGTCACACATGCAAAGAGTAAACATTTAAACATTCGGTATCCTTTCTTTCTAATTGGTCAATCACATAGGCGAAGAATGCAAGTCAAGAGTGCCAACTAAATCTATTGAAGATTGATTATTAGATTAAGATTTTAACTCAGAATGAGGCTTCAGTGACATGAAGCTCGTTTTCAGTTTAGTATCCCCGTGCCATCCAGTGCCTAAAATTTCAAAGCATTTCTTGTTTGAGCTGTTTTCTCTTGAAGCTAAACATCAAGATATGTTGCTATTATGGTTATAAAAGGTTCATGGGACAGGTGGACTTGATGTCAAGATGATCCTACAATGCTAGTCACATGCAGAAAAATAACATAAGATGATAACATAGAGACATAATGTCTACATGGTTAAGGCATGCGAAGATCGTCACCTGTCAACTGTCTGTCCGGAGACAGGATCCAACTCATGTAGGGAGATGCTTGTTTGTGTCCTGTTGTGGAATTCAAAACCTAGGACTCTTGCTGCAATCACAAATGCTGCTTCATCAGGTGATTCAGCCTCATATGAGATTTTTCCTGTCTCTTCGTCCACTTCAGGTATTGCAGTATGACAGATTGCTAACAGACGGAAAAACTTCTGGATGACATCCGCACGAGGCTCATTAACCCAGTTTCCATTCATGACCCTTTCATCCTTAAAGTTAAAACCTTTAATAGCCGGCGTATCAGCAAAATCCTCAACATGGTTAGGGCCATTTAGTTCACGGACGGGTGAACCTTTCTTTCTATCCATTGCCCTCTCAACTTCTGTAACACCGCGGCCATAAGCTGTACCAGCCACAGAACACTTGATGAACTCCATTGAATTACAGGTTAGTGTTCCCGTCTTATCAGATAGAATCGTGTCAACTTGGCCAAGTTCTTCATTCAAATTAGAGGTACGGGCATGTGCTGGTTTGTCGGCCTCCTCATAATACATGTGAATATCTTGATTGATGAAGATGCTCTGAAGAACTTTAACAATTTCTATGGACACATACAGAGAGATAGGGATGAAGTAGCTATACAAAAGAAGAGCTGTTAGGAAGTGATAAATTGCTGCAACTGGAGCTCTACTAGGATCAAAGAAAATTTCAGCACTATCAGGCCGAAGATACCATCTCCTTCTAATCCTTCCATTTTCAAGGTCTCTGTCAGTTTCAATCCCAAAGAAGATAGAACCAATAAATCCCATTACGGTCACGATAACGAACATAAGGTAGATAATCCGATCCATCTGCTTCTCGATTTTGCTTCTCTTGGAAGGAGGATCAGTAGAATTCTGCATGACCTTGGTGTCATGACCAGTGAACACAACAGCCCCATATACGTAATCTGTATTCCGGAGTTTCGAGTCCCGAAGGAGAAGTTGTTGAGGAGAAAGGGGATATTGTTGCTCTTCGAACTCCATAGTTCCAACAAAAGTATACAAATTCGCATTGGGGTCCTCGCATTTAATCATAGCCTTAAAGTCCTTAAAGTTATAGTCATCATGTAAGGATGAAGTTACCTCTAGCGCTTGTTTCAGCTTCAAATTCGTTTCTCCATCAAGGTTCATGGTTTCAACATAGCAAACCGCATCATCGTAACTGGATGCGAGCAAGATGAGATCCGTTGGAAAGAATTCATCTTTCCCCACCTTTACAATATCTCCCACTCTAAGATTCTTCCACTCAGTATGATCAAAGTGGCCATCACCTCGATGAACTTTTGTCTTTCTGTTGTTCACCTCATTATCCTGAAGAAAACCCAGATTGACCATAAAACAACCAGATTATAGAAACTTTACCTACAAGCTAATTCAAGGGAAAAAGTCCAAGACAGATATGTTCTATGAACAAGCAGCAATAAAGGCAGTGAAAAAGGAGAGAAACCTGCTGTTTTCGGCGCCAATCCTCGACACCTTCTTTGATCATTGTAGCGCCAATAACGATGATGAGAGGGACGATAGCACTAACAGCTGAATAAGGAGCAAGAGCAGTGAAGGAAAGTATACCGGTAACCAAGAAGTAGAAGTTAGCGACTCTCCTGAATTGCTCGAACAATGACTTGGGCAAGAAGGTAGCAACGTTATACTTGGTGGTACTGACATAATTATCCGAGTAACGGTGGATTCCCGCCTCCAAGGAACTCGGTTCATTGCAATGAACAACCCTGGAGAATCCTGGGCCCCCAATCTGCGAATGGTCTTCCTTGAATGATGCTTTACCACATCCAAGTCCATAGATCTTGCTCATCAACAGCTTCCTCTTCCTGCCACCACCCATTTCCCCCCCTTTTTTCCTCTCTTTCAACTACAACAATCAATTTACTAAAAATAATATATTCAGCTCACCCTCCTGATCTTAGTTTCACCCAAAAACTGTATGTACAGTGTATATGTACGTATACAATCAGCTATAAGAAAGGAGGAAATTACAGATTTTTTTTTAATAAAAAGATTGGGTTATTCTTGTTGAGCTCAAAGCCCCAGAAAATTAATAAAAAAACTTTTTCTAGAACTAAAGGTTTAGACTTTAGACACAAAGAGAGAGGGATAAATAGATTTGGAGAAAGGATCACAGTTTATTAAAGACACGTATGTCAACATGTAAGAATTAGTCTTGAAAGAGAAAGATGAATAGAAGGAGAAAATGCAGAGAAACAGAGGTACAAGGAGGATAATAATATTGGCAAAAAAAATTCAAACAGAATACTAGAAAGGGTTGAAGGAGGATATGATTTGATGTCAGCCTTTTTAATTATGAAAATGAATAAGGCGAAGAAGCCGAGTTTAAAATAGGGATGAATTCTTCTTCTTCTTCTTTCTCTTGTCTCTCTCTGGTTTTGTTTTCTGGGTTTCTAGTAGGAATACATTTCTTTAATGATTCCATCACAAACTTTGATTTGAACGAAGACTTGGACTTTTTTGTTCTATATTTTATGAGTTTCATGTACGCGCGTTTTGCTTTTGTTCCGTTTTGGAGGCCAAAAGAAAATACAAATTTCAAACCTTTTTTTTTTGGTACATATGGATCGTTTTGTGAAGACAATATACAAAATTATTTTAGGTAAATTACAATTATAAGTCACTCGATTATAAATAATATTACAAACAAGTCATTGGTTACAAACAAATTATTCAATTAATTGCAATTATAAAAAATAGTTCTCATTAAACACTCAATATATATTTGTAATAATCTATTCATTAAGTAATGTGTTTGTATTTTAAAAATTCAATAATTTGTTTATAATTTTATTGATAATTGAATGACTGACTGTGTAATTTACCCAGTATTTTGGGTTAGGATCTTAGGGTTGGCGCGGGCGTCTGGAAATTAAATTTCAAGCCAAGTGAGCGAAGCAATTGAAATTGCCAATCATTGAAGGGAAAAAAAGGAAAGACGTTTTATCCAAAAATAAAAAAGGAAATATTAAGATCAAATAATTATTAGAAAAAGGGAAGACAAAATTTTCGAAATATCATTTCCAATCGTGACCGTTGGTTTCCGATTTATTTGGTCTTCTTTCTTGAAGAAGTTTCTTCTAATTTTCTAATTCTAATTCTAATTTTATAATGTGAAAAGTTGAAAAATAAGAGAAATAATACCGTCCGCATTACAAGAGAAAGTGTTAGTTTTTTTCACATTCCGAATCACCAAAGTTAACCAACGGAATTGGTTCAAGTAGTAAGTAACTTGATATCGCTTAAGCAAGTTTTAAGTACGAGTCTTTGTGTATGTAGAAAATTTCCGTTGGGGGACTTACCCACCAAAGCCAAGTATGAATTTTTGTTCAAATATGCTAGTTGGATGTTATGTCAATGCTAAGTGACTCGGGCACATCCCGAATACTCTAGAGGAATAGACTAGACGAACGAGGTATCGATGCTATGTGACCCGGACTTAGCTCGAGGTTTATGAAGATGTCGATGCTATGTGACCCTGGTTTCGCCTGGGGTTCTTTAGTAAGCAAATATGAGTGTGAGTTATGTGATGCTAAGTTACCCCGAGTTACACCATGATGCTTTACTGTGGTTGTTGTGTTTAGTGTATGTCAATGTTCATAACCATACTTGTAGCATGCTTATATGTTGGATACTTGTACCGTACTTGTGAGCTCATCGTACGGAATATGTTTTCGTGCGCAGGTTCATAAGTGCCAGTTGAGGAGTTCGTCGCCAGACTTAGATTTCCAGACTCGTCTTTCTTGCAAAGTACGTATCGAGTATTATAGAGGGCATATGTACTGTCATAGACTCTTGTTATGTATTTGAGTCGTAAACTATGTTATATTTGTATTTATGTATTTTGGAGACTGATGTTGGGAGCTCTCCATATTTTGAATACTTATATTTGCAAACATTTTATATTTTGGTTTTATGTCACGCGTGGATGTTAAATCGGTCTAATGATTTAAAAAATGGTTAGCCTCTTAGGTAGTTTCGTGTAACATTCTAATCCACCATGTTTCGGGTTAAATTGAATTAGAGTGTTACATTAGTACCTAAACTTTCAAAAAAAAAATCAAAACTTAACGTTAAATTTTGAAGAATTGTACTAAAATAAAAAAAACTAAAGTTTTTAGCGGCATATTACTAAACTGAAACAAAAACTAAATTTTAAGTATGATATTAAAAAAAATTTAAAAATTAGGTACGAAAATGAATCAAAACGAATATTTTAAGTACTAACCGCGTAATTTTACCCTTGATAATTTAACCAAATAATATTGTGAATTACAGATAAGCGAGAGATGCAGCTGCAGCCAGACAAGGCAGGAAAGAACAGTGTTGCGACGTGTAAGACACTAAGACGAGATGCGATTGGTCGAACCCAACAAAACAAAACGGCAATGCCAATGACGAATAGAGTGGCGTTTCGGTCCGTGAAAAGTGAATCGCGACGGCGACGAGAGTGTGTAGAACGCAGTGAGTCAACGGTCTTCTAGAATTAACATTTATTTAAATTTGCTAAAGCGGTCACCTCATATGTCATACATAGTATTTAATCAACAACTTTCATCATCTCTTGGTTCATAATTCAACAGCTTTCATCAATTATGTCATATGTTGTTGTCAACGACCCAATTTTATTATTATTATTATTATTATTAAATTATTATTATTATTATTAAATTATTATTATTATTATTATTGTTCCTTCTGTCCCTTTTCCTTTTGCTTTTTCTTCTAATAATTCCCCATCTCCTGGTATTCAGCGCATGGTTGCATCCACATGATGCACGAGAAATGAATGAATAAATGAATAATAATAATAATAATTTTTGTGTTTGGTATAAGAATGAAATTGGGATTTTGATAAATTAAAATCAAAAAAATTAATTTGTAAAAAATCATTTAAATTAAATTATTAATTTATAAAACAAGACAAAAGTATAATTTTTTGTTTAATTAAGAGAAAAAAAGCATTTAATTTAAATTAATTGAATATAGGAGGACTAAAAGTATAGTTTATCCATTCAATCGAACATGCCAAAGGCTCTTAGCTTTCGTCCTCGTTTCGAATTCGGGTGGAGAATGGTTGTGCGTTGTGCAATATTTCCTTATCGAACCTGATGTTATCAATGCTATAAGGGACGAAAGTAATATTTAAGGTTATGAGTGTAAATATTTAAAAAATATATATAAAAATTTTATAGGGTGTGTTTGGTTGGGGGAATGTAATTAACATTCCCACGTTTGGTTGGCCGGGAATGTCATTCCCGGTAATCTTACATTACCAATAGTGGATTTTTTAGAATATATTACCGGGAATGTCATTACCTCCATTTCCTTATGTATTGTTGGATTACCGGCGTTTTGGACTAAAATGCCCTTAAAAAATTTTCTTTTAAAAATATCATTATTCTGTCATTGAATAATAAAAATTCTACGAAGGTTAAATTATAAATTTATCCTTAAACTATTTTATATTTACAAAAAAAAGTCTATAATTTAAATTTTATATGAAGTTCAGGGGTTAAAATAAAATTTTATCATTTCATAAAACCTTTTTATATTTTCAATTTTGTAAAAAAATTATATAGATTTTATGAATTTAAATTTTTTAAAGAAAATATATAAATATTTTCTAACTTGTTTAAAAAACAAATATATAATAAAGATAATTTGGTTAAATATACATTCTAATAATATTTTAATATTTTAACCAAACACGATAATCTTACATTCCTGCTAAACCAACCAAACACAAAATACAACATTCCCAGTAATCATATTTCTTGATAATCTTTTATTCCCACTGATAATCTTACATTCCGTGAACCAAACGCACCCTAAGAGGTTTTAATTATATATATATATATATATATATATAAATTAATTTTTTAAAGAAATAAGATGGCATTAACATGCTTTGATTCATCCCTAAATACCATGTAACATAAATGTCGTGTCATATCATGTTACATTTAAATGGTAGATCGTAGTTAATAATTAGTGTATAAAGTCATGAGCTTTAATCTCGGAATAAAATGACTGATTTGTCACTTTGTGGTTTGCAAGTACACCACGGCTCTATAATTAATTCTAGATTAGTGGTTATTAATGGACCATTTAGATCATTTTTCACGTTTTCATAAACATAAAACATAAACCATAAAAGAATGTAGGCTCAGGGACGGATCTACTTTTTGGCATAATAGCATTTTAGGTTCTTTTTAGTTTAAATATTAGTTAAATAAGGCCTTTGTCCCCCCTAATTTTTATATTTAAATACTTAATAGACTATTGCTCTCTTGATATAAAATTATTTTGCCACCTTAACATTTGATATTGGCTCCGTCCCTGTGTAGGCTATTGTACAATGTACTTTTGTATAAGGATAAAACAGTGATAATAGATCGAACGAATGAGGTAAACAATTATCACAATTGTTCCTTACTCGAGGATAATACAACGATTAATTTACATTTCAATTTTTAGGAAGTTATAATTCAATTTCAATCATTCTAAAAAAATTTATAGTTTCACCTTATAATGAAATAACCTTATAATGAAATAAATTGGGTTGAGAGAGTCATTTTGGCTTCTACAATATTCGATCTGAATTAGTCGATTAATCAATCGGATATTAATTGTTATAAAAAAATAAAGTTGTTTACGTGGATATTTGTGATCAAGTACTTTGATCTTTATATACGGATATTATACAAGATAAAGATCATTAAATTACTCGTCCTAGTTGGCCCATGCATAATAAATAATAATTAAGGGTTGTTTTAGGCCAACCGATCCTCAATCTTCAACTGCTGTCTTGTGTTTTTGCATGCAAACAAAAGGAGGTGGCATGACCACGTAGTCCTTAATACTAATAATTACTCGCTAATTATGATATAAACAAATAAATAAATGAATTAGGACGATGACTTGTAAGATGTGAATCAAGTGATGAAACGTGAAAGGAGATGTGGCCATCCGTTTCCATTGTACTTAATATCTCCCATCTGCCACACGCCGTAATTTGTATGGATATATTTTTGTTATATAGGAATTTATAAACAGAAAAATAATCAAAATTAAATTAATATAAAATGAGATATGTATAATAACGATATTTAAAGTGGTTCAATTTTATTTATCTCAATGGATGAGAAAAATAACAATATACTATAAATATAAATATTACGAAGAGTACAAACACGTGACATCTCATGTATCTTATATATATATATCAAAATCCGGTGTATCTCAAAATACTCTTCTATCATCCCTACAAAACTCATCTCTCCAACGTAGACCTAAAAAATTACAGAGACTGAAAATATTACATCTCTCATGATTCTAAAGGCTAGGAGATATTCTCTACATATTTATATAGTCAAATACTTGATCATCAATAATTCTTAACTAAATAAATTTAATTACCTAGTAATCTCTGACCAGTAGAATTATAATAAATTCTAAATTTATTTCTAATTATAATATGAATCAATATCTAACTTGCTGGAACCTGCATCTTTCAAGTTATTGTAACAATAACAATATCATTCGAATTAAGACTCGATCAACGATATTTAAATTTTGAAGCAAGACCATTTTGCTAATGAACTTTGTCTTGTACGTGTGTGTTGTAGTGTAAAGAATGGGATTGGAAAGGGTAAAAGTCAAGAATCAATTTCAGCCAAAGGGGCGCAACATGGATTCTAGTGACGCTTGTACTTGGAAGGAGCGTCTAGGAATTAAACATGGCTGCCTCTCAAGACCAAACCAAGCCAAACTTGATATGATTCTTTTCATTAATCAAACCATAAATATATAGAATTTTAAGCGCGTGATTAAATAATAAAGAGTTGCATTAATTGACTCCCATGCGTCGTCAAAATCTGAGACTAAGAGCAATTACGATCCGGCGTTATCCATCACGCTTTGATTTGAATATGCATGTGTATGTATGCAGCAGTAGCTGACCCAGGACCATAATATAAATAATTGAATATTCTGTGGATCTTATTAGCATCATTTTGAGGGAGTTGTTTAATTGATTTGGTCTAATACCACCAAGTATTAGCTGATTAAAATAAATGTTTGGTGCACTGTTAGCAGATCAAAATCATGACACTATTTACCCCAACTTGTGAGGGGGGGGGGATCATGACACTTTCTATAAATGAAACCATGAAATATTTATAAATTATGTAGCAAATACTTGCACTGAAACCATAATGTAATTTTTTTTGGATAATTCCATTTCATTACCTAAAAAAAGCATAAAATATGCTACATAAACAACAACTTAACTCTTACTATACAAACAACATAAGAACACCATTACAAGTAAACCCCAACCTTAAGCAATACCCCAATTCACACAGAGGGAGTTGTTTCTCAGATCAACTCTGCTGCTGATAGCTAAACCTTTCAGCCAAATCTGAACAGCTTCTTTGATGTCCTTCAACACATCCCCCACCAGTCTAACTTTGCCCCCAAAAAATCTACTATTTCTCTCCTTCCAAATGCCATACACATGACCAGCCCAAACAAGCTTAAACACCCTCACAAGGAGAGATTTCCCTTTAAAACAATGAACAGCCCATGCCAACTCCCTATCCCAGCTGCTAACTCTTCGCATTACACCACACAAAGTAAGGATATCACCCCGCAACTCCCTCGCAAAACCACAATCAAAGAACAAGTGATCTCTAGTCTCAGCCTCAATACCACAAAACACACTTATCATTTTCTATGCTTAATCCTATTCTCAAAAGTCTTACCCGAGTAGAAAGTCTATCTAAAATAGCCATCCACACAACGATGTTGTGCTTTGGAATATGCCCTAGAAACCAAACCAAGCTATGCTATGGGACCTTTGGAACCTTATTGCACATATCCTTCCAGATCTGCCAAGTTTTGAGGTCACTACTTGAACCAGCAAATAGGTGAGAAACAACAGGCCTCAATTTCAAAATACTTCTAAAACTCCAACTGACACTAACAGAAATAGCCATCTGCCAAAAATCAGCATTCCTAATATTACTGAAAATCGTAAATTAATTATAAAATACACCATGAAATGTCTATTACTAGTATTAAAAAGAATCCAATAAATTTTACAAGGTGTTATACAAGCTGGCAATATTTCATCAAATCAAATGAAACAAAATTCAATGAATTATTGTTAATATAATATTAGTGTAATTGCTTGGTTTATCCTTCTCTCACACCTAAGTGCCAGCACAAAGCATCCTTTTGAACTTTAATTTAAACGTGAAAACGACAAACGACAGACTCGTTTTTGATGAGCAGCCAAAATAAGAGCAGGCGCAGGCACAACACACGAACAAGAATATCGGAATGAGAAAAATAATAAAATCCTGGGGTGGATTGCGATATTCCAGAGGCCTTGTTCCATGTTCCAAACAAGGCCTGATCCTGAATTTTACAGCCCAATTTAAGATTTTGGAGTGAGTCCACGGCCCATAGAGACGAAGAGTAGTCTTACACTTAAAAAAACAAGGTCTAATTCTAGTTTTAGTACCTTTATTTTTTTGATTAACTTGGATAAGTACAAGGTAGTATATCAATCTGATCAATGTGAACAATAGATAAATGTGAAAAATATAATAAATCAAATACTTAATATTATAAAAACAATAAATTTTGATATTATAAAAAAGATAATGGTCCAATTAACAATAAATTTATATATTAATCAAATACTTAATATTATTTTAATTTCCATCACTTTAACAACAATAAGTAACACGATGATATTATAAAAACAGATGCACCCAATATATGAAATGAAAGGGATTAAATCCCAAATTTTGAGTGTAGTAGACGAATAAAACCGCAATTGGACCAATAAAGTTATCGCTTACAATGCAGAACTCAACCGAGTCTACCGAGTTCGGCCAACACAAATGCGTCAACTCAACGATTTTGCCTCCTCCTCGCTCTATCTTCACCCATCAATCTTTTTAATCCAACAAAAGTGCCGGCTTTTTTCCTTTTTATCATGCTATAAGTGATGAGGAGAATCTGACCTCCAAACAATCCTTCAAGATAAAACTTCAAAGCCTCACCTTGATGTCGAACAAAGATGTACAACTCTTGCAGTATTAGTTCGAGTGCGTTCTCACTCAGGAGTAATGGGTCTATTTCATTTTCATTCAACGATTGTTCTTCCAACGTTTTCAATTCATCACCATTATCGTCATCACCGTGTTTTTCTTCATGCTGCTCATCTTGTGCTTGTTGCTGTGCTACATTTGCCACTGCCACCCATAGGCTACCCAGTACCCCTTGCTTTTTGTATGGATTAAGGCAATCCGCCCTTGTTCATTGCTCACCTTCTAGGAGGTTCATTTTACCTGCTGGATGCCGCTGCCTTTCAGGATTTCTGAGCTGTGATCTCAATCGAGCTGCTTTCGAGGTTTCTACTGGTATTATGTTTGCTAGGAAAGCTAAAGGGAGGTTTAGATGTATGGTTTCAGAGGATAATGCAGCTAGCTCTAGGTATTTGTTAGGCGGAGTCGATGCCGCCGAGGCCATGGTCAACTTGTTGAGTGAGGAAGTGGATGGGGAGTGTTTAGGTACTGGAGAAATAAATAGGAGTTCGTATAAGGTAGTGGAAGTGAACAAAGCAAAGGATTATGATAGTAAGTGCTATAGCCTGAAGAAGAAAAGTAAACAAGTGAACAACAAAACATGCTGTGGTAATGAATGCAATAATGAAGAGAAGCAAGAATTGCAATTGGAGGACAGAGGGAGACGATGAACCTTATAGAGAGAAGACTAGAACTGTCAGGTCGGGTTTGTTGGAGAGTGATTCCAAGGATGAATATGAGCCCATTGCCGTTGAGTCAAGGGGAGTGATTAGAAGGAAGGCGGAGAGCGAGTCATCCTTGAGAACTGAGCATCTTAGGGGAAGGACAAAGAGTTCTAGTTGTTCATCTTATTACTCATTGTCATCTTCAGGGGACTTGGAGAGTGATGTTGAACTCTCAGACCGAGAGCAATTTGTAACGGAAACAATAAGGGACGAGACTAGGAGAAGCGAGGGACAATTGACAGAAGGCTTGAAAAGGGGCAATGCAGTGGGGATTAGTGTTGATTGGGATTTGAAAAAAAATCAGAGAAGAGGCTTGCTGAAGTATCCTCTGACGAAATACAATCTGGGGCAGAATCCTCACAAGAATATGAAAGAGGGGTGAAGAATGATCAAAGTGAATATGTGAAAAGATCTAGTTCTGAGCATACTCGTACAAATAATCAAGTTATTGGGCAGTCCGAATCTAGAAGGAAAAGCCAGGGTGTTAGAGAAATGTCAAAGATCCATGTTAGTGATGTCGGCAAAACTTCCCAAGAGAAATTGGAGATTGAGGAAGAAGATAGGAATCTAGTTCAGAGCCGATCTAGATTGAAAATGAAGATCTGGGAAGAAGATACAATCATGGATCAGACTTCATTTCAGCAGACAAGAAAGAAACAGCTGCAAAGAGGTGAATGGATCACTGGACAACTGGAAATGAGAAGAAAGTCGGAATGCTCAAGTGAAACTAATGAAGCCAAGAACAAGAAGACCTCAATATTACAGTCCAGAACACAAAAGATGAAACAGAATGATACTTCAAGTTTAAATTTCACATCTGATCAGAAACAATATCGGAGAGTTGAGCCTGGTAAAGGAATGCCAGCTATTACAAATGTATCTGTTGTTCATGCTGACAACACTAATATAGTTACCAATACTCGTTTGTTCTGGAGAAAGATTGATTGGACATGAAAGTAACGCTTTGGGTTTGGTTCAGATTAATGAGAGAAGTGAAATGCATAATGAAGCCAATGGTAGAGTTCAGCAAAAGAAATCAAGAAAAGAGAACTTGAAATCTACTAGTGTGTCGGAAGAACTTTCTTCCGGACAATCTGAGGAGGGCTCCAGTTTTCAAGCATTTTTGAGTTTGGTTTCAGAAACACGAGAACAACAGTCTCATGTTAATTTAGAGGAATCAGAAAAGAGGAGCACGGAGTATGTTTTGATGCCTCCTCATCCTCAAGCGATAACTGGAGGTCTCCCGCATGATGATTCAATATCTAGGATTTTTACTGAGGAGGCGTCCGGTAAAACTTCAGAAGTGGCTCTGCCACCTCACACATGCATTCGAGAGGAAGGACTACATTTGCACACCACGAACCATATGCAAGAAAAAAGAGTGAGACTTACGGGGAATCTTTAAACTGGACTACCCATGAAGATTCTTTGGATTCTGCTCAACGATTAGAGGAATCATTCTCGCATTTTGTTGGGGAATTTGTTGAGGAGGCAAGGCATGATTTCTTAACTTCTGGGGTCCAACAGGGTAATATAAGTTCTGACCTCACTTCACCATGTGAAGGTGATAAGTATGAGCCAAACGCTTCTGGTCAATATGACAAGGAAGAATCAAAGATGAAAAGGCATGACTCGAGGCAGTCATTAAAGGGCTCTGGAGGAAGGGGACCTTCTAATGAAATGTGGGATGTAACTGACCCATCTGTTCAAGAACCGCTTGAAGCAGAAACTCCTCAGGGAATTTCTACATCAGGGAATGCTTCCATAAAGAGAAGTGGCATGTCCTTGTGGACCCTTATGGGAGATATAGTTCGATTACAATGGAGTTCACGTGCTCTGACCCCTAACTCAAGTTCAACTGCAAGATCCGGAGGAAGGACTTCACCTAATGAGTCTGTTCACAGTGAGACATGGTTTTCTGGTCATGAAAACAATGAAGAAAATCTGAGAAGGGAAAGAAGCAACCTGGCTTCATAGGTCATATCTCATCAGTTGATACAAGGGACTCAAGGTGAAGGAGATTTCTCTGACTCAACAAGGACAACTGAAAAAGTAGGACACCTTGAAGGCAACATTTCACCATCTTCAAATATATTAGAAACTGTGCCTGCATCAGAAGTTATTTCATTGACTTCGCAGAAGGAAAAACATGGCATTAGTAGCTCTGAGGTAGCCCCTTCAGGCAAGGAGGTAGTACAATCATCTTTACCATTACCAGCTGGAAGCACAAAAGCATCTCTTGTTCTAGAAGATATTTCAGAAGCCGATAAAATTAATATCAAGGGAAGTGGTTCAATAAGGACAATGGTACAACAACCTTTCGGTGCAAGAATAGCTGAAGCATCTGGGTCTCAGGATAAGGAGGGGGAATTAAAACAAAGAAAGCTTCAACGGACCAAACAAGTTCCAAGAGATAGATTTGACGAATGGGAAGAAGCATATAGACTTGAGCGTGAGCAGCGAAAAATTGATGAAATGTTTATGAGAGAAACATTGCTGGAAGCCAAGAAAGCTGCTGATTATTGGGAGGTGCTTGTTGGGGCAGTACTAGTGCAGCATGGGAAGATAATTGCCCGTGGACGCAACTTGTGAGTTCAATAAATTGACATGCTTTTTATTTGATTGTTTATCATTTCTTAACATTTTTTATTGATGATTTAATTTCAGGGTAGAGGAATTACGGGATTCAACTGCACATGCAGAAATGATATGTATACAGGAAGCTTCGAGCATACTACGTTCATGGAGGCTTGCGGTACTATTTCTTCTTTTCTGTTCTGAAGTGTATAAACTTTTTGATGGAGAGCGATGTCAAAACATCCAAAGATGCAGTTCCTCAATAATTCTAGTGTCACTGCTAGCCAGGCAGTTTGCTGAGAAAACATTTAAAGGATATGTGCACCTAAATTTATCTTATAATATGGATTATATGTTCAAATATGGTTCATTAACAAATGAGTAATGTCCCCAGCAAAATGCTTGGGTCTGCTCATTGCTCTTGAATAACAGTAACTATCAATGCCATTTTCTAACTTGCATTGGACTTATTTGTCCAAAGGTTTTTAGCTTTGTAGTTATTGCTGGCAGTTTGATGAACTTGGTAATCTACCTGCCACCATATCATAAATATGCATTCAATTTTATATCCAAATGATGATGATGCATCATGCCTGATAAGGGAATATAATTTCCCTAAAGATTCTAGCGATCTTTCAGTTTGATGACCAAATTCATGCTTTTGCTCCAATTGTTGTAATACCAGAACAAATATATTTTCTTTTCCCTCTTTTTAATGGTTCTATAGTCAAATCCATTCAGTGACTGAATCTTTTGGCCCTTTAGGATACAACACTTTATGTTACACTTGAACCATGTCCTATGTGTGCTGGAGCAATACTTCAGGCAAGAATTGACACTGTTGGGTGGGGAGCTCCCAATAAGCTTCTAGGAGCAGATGGCAGCTGGATAAGGTATGAGTTATGACAATAAAATTCTTACCAGCACAGTCCCTGTGAGTTTTGTAGTACTGTGAGATTTCACTGTTATAAGCTTGAATTTATGCTTCTCCGTGGTTTGAAAATTGCAACAACATACTTGCCCAAACAAAATCGTTGCTGATTATAGCATGTGGTTTTGGTCTTCATATTCGGGCTACTAAAGAAATAAAATAGGAACTTTTTTCTGAAGGAATTGCCCTATATTTTGTAGACTTTTCCCTGACGGAAGAGGAGGAAATGGTTCCGAAGTGACAGACAAGACTGCAGCCCGAGTCCATCCATTCCACCCAAATATGGGAATCAGACAGGATATTGGCATCGGAGTGTGCCGACATGATGCAACAATTTTTCCAGCTTAGGAGAAAGAATGCAGAGCAGCCCCAATCACCATCTTCTCTTCCTGTAACAAGTCATCGTTCGAAATTCTTTACGAAGATGCATGATATCTTGCATTTGATGTTCTGTTTGTGACACTAGGAAAACCAACATACTGTTTTTTTATTAGGCTCTATAATGTATTTTATGAACAAAGTGCTAATTTCCTTCAAATCAAATTGAGTGAAGGTTTTTTCTTGTCAGGTCTACCAATGCATTTGAAGGTAGGTAGGTTGGTGCAGCTTTGTTAACATTGCCTATTTCTTAGCAAACCCTTTCTTAATCTTCTCCAGATATAGATTATATCCCCTTATCATCGAACACGATTTAAAACTTCAAACCTGATCAACATGATTGTCATTCGCCTAAAGTGTGCAAGTATAAATGCACCATAATATGATAGAAATAGATATGAATAACACCAAAGCTGAATAACAAAAATATTGGTAGCATTTTATTGCTTATCCATCCTATTCTTAGTTTCTTACATGGTTGATGAGAATGAAGATCAATTTTATCATAAATGTGATCATGAATCAAATATATATATATATATATATATATAGCCGGTTTAACTTGATCTGTCTTCACATTTCATCCCTTAAGTCATACTGAACAACAAGGCCAAGATTGTCAGCTAATTTGTGGTATTGAAGACACCCTGCACACTGATAAGAAACACTTTCAAAAACATTTTTCTTAATTTAAACAACCATCACTAATTCTTCTGCTAAAACAGATAATAATGCTGCACTTTCTGTTTTCAATAATCAACCAAAATCATTAGATCACTTGTAGAGGTTTTCCAGATAAAAGTTTAGACATTCATCTTTCACATTCAAGAAATTAAAGCAGCAGTTAAAATGTTTCATTCAACTTCGAGATTAGATAAATATCACATAATGTCAATCTTCTGGCTTGTGAAGGCCACCACCAAACTCAAAAAACACCATAAATTAACAGAAACCATTAATATAAGAGCCTATTAACTGGAACACAAATGAACCCCTACAAAACTGAAAGCTTAATTGCAGTGGAGAAAAATGTAGATTTTACCACACATTGAGTATACTGAAAAAGAGAGTTTACTGGAAGAGAAAATTTGAGTCTTTTTTTCTATTCTGTTTGAAAATAAAAGGGAAAATCAGACCTATTAAAATAGGCCGCAACTGTAGAGTCTACTGGTATTTACAACATAAGAGTCCTACCAGGTGTTTAATATTTTCTCTAAACTATTATCTCTTAAGATAAATCTAAAAATACAAGTTTAATAAAAAGTAAAATACTAAATATACATTACTTTATCTACACGGCTACAACCTACACTTTATACTGCTATAGAAAGGCCTGTCTTCTATACTATTTATGCTGAAAACATGGACTGTTGCAATCTAAATTATTTAAACCAATTTGATTATCAAGAAACATATAATAAGAGACTTTCCTGATAGGAAAAAGAGAGCAAAGAAACAAAAAGAGGAGAAAATACCTGTACATAAACGAGTCCACGTTCATAGGCCAAGCGGTTTATGAGCCTCTCTGTTCTTTCGCCACATTCCCCACAAGTGAACTGGACCAATAAACTTCTTCTTGGCAATTTTATGTCAATTGTTGAATCCTGCACAATGACCATGCATGAAAAATAAAAACCTATGACCAATTAACAGGCATGTAAGTGGTGCATGATCTCAAGCGGTATAATGTAAAACGCCATCAGATCATCTCTAATCTCCGGTAAGGAGACATGTAGCAGAACATGCTTTCTTGAATTTCAAATTTTACTTAAAAACATTACCCTTCCTATTCTAACACAGATAATTGCACACTATCATCATACACAAATATTTCAAGAACTATAATAAACGCTTTGGAAAAGAGAATTTACATTACTGTAGTCCTAAAACCGAGTATATTTGGCATACCCGAACATGTCCAGCCTATCATTCACACAATCTGATCTTCTGTTAATTTGAATTGCAAATTATAATCAAACCAGATACTGAAGAGAAATAGAGAATGAAGACTATGGTTGCAGAAAGGAAAACCACATTGAGTTCATGGCAAGGTGATTCTGATGATTAAGCACGGAAGTATTGACATGTATACACATGAAGAGTTGTGATTAGTTGTAGTAAAGGTAATTCACTAGAATTACACCAACTGCAAACGTAATCGCCTTTTTTAAACCCTTTTCCAAAACCATCATCTTTGGGGGCAATTGTCCTCACTTCAAGAAAATTTACTGCCGATTAAGATTTATATTAGCAAGAGTAATATATTTCCCAAGATATATAAAGAGAGAGAAATAAAAGCGTAGCAGGATTAAGGAAGCTCAAAAAATATAAGAGAAAAAGTGAATCATATCATACAGCGTTGGAACTAGCCTCATTTTCATTTGGGTCAGCTGTAGAATCAGAACCCAAAACCCGAAATGCTGGCTTGGGTAGCACCAGTGAGGGATGTGAAAGTTTCAGGCTGGAAAAAGAAAAGAGAAAAAGTTTGTGAATTTGAAAGTGAGACAAGGGGAAAAGAAAAGAAAAACCCAGAAATTAAGGATTACCTGGGAATTGATTTGAAGGAGTTGTAAAATGGAAGGGAAGTGATGGGCTTGTAATTGTTAGAGTGGTAGTGAAGTTTTGGGAAGGAAAAAGCTGAGGGGAAGCAGATACTGCTCGTTGCTGAAGCCATTGCTTAGCTGTTGGAGTTGGAGTTGGAGTTGGAGTTGGAGTAGGAGTGATAAAGGGTAATATTTACTCCGCAAGTAGTTGAAGTTTTTTTTATTATTTATTTATTTTAATATTTATATTCGAGATTCGTGATTTTTTTCTTCTAATAATGCCATAAGAGACACTTGCATCAATTTTCTATTGCTTGTTGAAGAATTTTTCTACAAGTATAAACTGTTCTCAGATTTCTTTGGAACAATAACGAGCATCTTTATGCCTTGGTAATGAATAACAAAAACTACAACAGTAACTACGACGACAACAATGATACGGTTCCACCTTGAAAATTCTGTTGATAAAAGAATTATGTGAGTTGACCCAAATCGAATTCCGAGATCAACCTTTTGTCAATGAGCATCACTCTTCCTCATCTACTTCATGAAAGGGAAGTGGCACGGTCTTGACTGCCCTGAACCTGCCTGCATTATTTAGATGCTCATTCTCCAACCTGGACCATTAGAAGATTTTGTTCATTGTAACTTCTCAATCAAGCAACAAGTGTGCATGTTGATGGGAACAAATGCCTAGCCCCAGGCTGCACTTGCAAAGATTCAGAAAATATTACACAAACAACTGTTTTTTTTTACCTGTAGAAATTCCACAGTCCTCTTCTGATCACCTCGAGTGCTGCCAAAAACAGTCCGGTTACCCTGTAGTCGACGTTTTGAAAACTCGAATGGACAACTGTTTGCAGCCATGCCAGCCTGAGGATAAGGTTCAATCCCTGCAGGTCATGCAAAATTTTGTTCAGAACAGGCTCCAGTTTTTTGTTTCTTAGAAGATCTCTACTTGTGCTCCTAATGCACATTTTAAGACACTATCCACTCCATCGATCAAACAACTGCAATACCTATTTCTTCGTTTACGTGTTTTCTACCGAATAAGAACTGGAATCTTACGTTTGTTCGCGGAATGGAATTATCAGTATTTGTTTTAAGAGGATGTTTATTCTCCTCTTAATGACATATGTTGAATTCTATGTATACCGAGATGGACAAGCTGGTTGTTAGCTTGTATTAGCTCGTATGCGTTGCCAATGGCCGATATGTTTTAAGGGCTATTACATTTTTTTTCTAGCAGGCAGGGGAAGTGATGTGAGGGTGTAACATATACCATAGAGATGTAGTAAATGAACTTTCGACGGAGCATTAGTTCGTTTCGTAGCCAAGGATTCTTCGAATTCAACTGAAGCAAACCCCAGTCTTTTACAAAGTCCCAATACAATTGGTAAACCGTTGCAACACTCGACATGACAACTACAAGACATAGCCATCCGATACTCCTTTCTTTCTCATAGGCCACTTTGGCCCCCGCTGCTAACATTGCTGATACATATTTACCTAGATTGACAAGGTGATTTGTCTGTCCTTCGTCAAACCACCGCCGAGCACACTGCAAGCCAATCAAAATACAATTTCTTTCAGATGAGAGTAATTAGTCTCAACCAACCAAGTTCTTTGGAACAAAATATACCTGCATAGCTCTCCAGTAATAGGGTAGAAAGGACACTGCATAAGCAAGATCTCTGTAATGCTTGGCTCTCATGCAATATCCGTAGTCTTGATTTTTGTAGCTTCCAGTTATGTAATAACAAGCCACATACTCGAGGTTCCTTAGCATCGGCACCTGCGGTTCAAGAATACATGATATTTTATGAATCCAATGAGCTATGATTCGCCGCCCTTTCAAGTACTTAATTAGCAGTTAAACCAACCTGACTACAAAGTTGATCAGCCATGAAAAAATCCAACATGACAACCTGCACAAGAATAGTTGTAATTAACTAGGAAACCGGTTGTCCATACAATAAGGGTAGGATTTTCATCTTTTGCCAACTTGTAAGGAGTTATGTACCTTATAGAGAGGTGATAAAATTATATTCCGTATCACACCAAGGAAACGATAACGACTCGAATGGTAGAAGATATTGAAAGGGCAAACTAGCAATAATACGAAGACCTGCACACAGTGGAGAAAGTTAAAACTTCTGCAACATGACTAACCAATACATTGGTATCCAAAAAAGCGTGTTATGATTGGGAATTTACCAGTAACAGGAGACCAGGGATCGCTTGAACCTGTGCGTATGAGTTCCCTTTTCTAACCAGTGACAAGTGAACAAACATGATTCCAACAACAGCAGTCATTGAAGTAGTACAGATCAAGAACACATCTCTGTACTTAAGCTCCTTGGTGGGAGCTAACTCGAAGATGAAGCTGTAATTGATACGAGCTTTTCTCCACATGAAAATGTTGCAACCATACAAAAAGAAGTGTAGGAAAAATAGACTGAACATGCTGCAGAAAGAGAGTGTTGATCAGATGGGATGGTACCGAGGATGTTATTAGAGCATAACAACTCTATAATCTTAAAACACGTTGAAGCTCACTACTTGCCTAAGTACAGGGTAGGCTGTTTCCATATAGATTGAATCCGGTTGTCTTCTGTACATCCCGGTGAGATGTGCCATAATGATGTATCCCACAAGAAGGGCCACGAAACACCCAGTAAAGAGTCCTGAGCATGTTTAAAGCTTTAAACCAATTAGTTAAATTCAAATTCTACCTAGGTAATCTACGAAAACAAGTTGCAGAATATTGATAACATATATGTTCAGTTGGAATGTCTGATATGATATAGTGGACATAAGACACTTGTTAATGTTGGATGTTCGGGGACTGGCCGTTGTGTATAACATGATGGAAGAGACGAGTCCCAGAACAAGATGTGATATGCAGCGATTCGGAAAACCGAACAGTGATTGCTGTTGTGTTAATGGGCTGCTCTTTTAAAGGTCGAATCTATGTACGTTCAAATTTGTCTGAAGCATAAACTATGCTTTTTTGGTCCACCCAAAAAGTGAAACCTCACACTGCCCTTCATTTCAAGTCCAGTGCCCTAATGGGTCCATGCTTTTACACCTTTTAAAAACCTATCATTTAGCAAAGTGATTGCTGGAAAGCTTTCCACCAAAGAGGAAAAATATCATTCCTTATGTTTTATTTTACTTTCCTATAGAAAAATACTTTATTGGATGGTGCTAAATGCTTAAGGAACTAACCAATGAAGAAGGTTACAGAATGCAATTCTTTACGCTGTTGCGGTCTGAGATATTTCATAGCCTTCCTGCGATCTTCGTCTGCAAAATGCATGATAAATAGATCTTCAACTTCATCTGATAAGTTCACTACCTGTCATTTACAAGACTAATAAGCAAGTGTACAAAGTTATCTATGTTCGATTTTTACATAGATCTTAAGATATGATTCTGCTGATCAATAGCCACTTAACATTGTCGGCAACTAATCATATGAATAAATTAATTACCGTCAAACATGGAACAAACTCATGGAATTTTTTAGCTTCTCTTACCTTATCCGAGCTGTTGAAATAGGAACTCTCAACTACTTCAAGATAAATGGGAAGAACTAGTTTTCCCGTAACCTGAACGAGTTCATTCAAGAGAAAATCATGTTTAGTTATTTGTGTAAATGGAAATGGAATGATCACTTTAAAGACACCGAACAAATTTACTTACTTTGTCAAACTTCTTCAGAATTTTTATAAAAGCAAGCGTGTTCAAGTGCCTGTAAGTTTTGAGGTAACCCAATCCTTTATATAGCTCTACAAAAGCTCCTTTGATCATCTTCTCGGCATAGTGCAGCTTGGACTTGTTGATGTACAGCTTACCCCTTTCGGGTCCTAATTTCTTCGAGGACTGGTTAACTAAATCATCCCAAACTAGGTAACTTATAGCCGAGAAGGTACGAGAAGGCGTCGTGAGAGGGATGTTTATTCTCAAGTTCTTTCCCTGGAAGCTGAAAACACAATCGGAGAGTAATCTTAATCTCCCTTTCTCTCTTTTCATATTGATACTTGTCGATTTCAACATCGAGTCTGATCTCGGAGAGTCTGAAGAGGACACTTCATTTTTATCCGATTCATTGGTGCAGCCGTCTTGCTGCAGCTGCTCTTGTTCCGTTCTGTCTTTGACAGAGTCCTCTTCTGCATGAACACATAGTCGGTATATATATATATGTATGTTAGGTGTGTAAATATAATGCATGATTGTGATAGTGAAATCAGTACAGATGCATGTATTAGCATTACGAGACGTGGATGGAAAATAAACAAGTACCACATGAGATAGTGCAGGAAATGGAAGCGTCCTCCTCCTCGTCCGGGGCGGAACCGCCTCGGCGGCGTTGCTTGATAATAGATTTGAGCTCGGTTAGAATCTGCATTTGCTTCTTCAAACACTCCCCTCTTTCCAAAAACTCTTTCTCCTTTGTTTTATAAAATTGGTTCACTTTGTTAAGCTGCAAGTCCAAGCATGCAAAAAACTCCTTGGCAGCATCAGTATCGGCAAACTGCTCTAGCAATTCCGTCTCATATATTAAATCTCCTCTGCTAGTCGAAGCGGCCAGTCTCTTGTGAACCTATTAGCATTAAATTAAATTAAAACAACAAGAAGTTCGAGAATTGAGATAGGGAGCCGAAGAGTACTTGAATGAGACCGCGGTCATGACGCCGATGATGACTGAACAAAGAGAAATTCCCGATCGCAGACGAGACCTTATCGACGAAAGAAGTGGTGGTATGTTCAGCATTGGTAGCAGGGTGTATTTTCTTGAGGTCCTTCTTGAGTTGGCGGTAATCGACGAAGGCGTCTTTCCACTCGGGAACGAGCCTGCCTTCGAACTGCTTCGAGAACTTAACCATGGATGTAAGTTCCGAGAGGAGGGAATGGCGATGGCGGAGTGACTGTTCGGTTGAAGACATCATTGTTGTATATATGGAGGAGGAAGTTAGGAGGGAGCGAATCTGGTTGATGTGGCCGTACGAAAGAGAACACGGCACATTCCAAAATATCCGTTGCACTTATTGTTATCCTACATATGCTCCCTCCACTTGAGAGTTGAAAGGTGCCGCGGTGGCCACTGGCCAAGGTTCGCCGGAAAATGACCAAACTGATACCGTATGTTTGTTTTTACTTGATGAAATGGACTGCAACTTCTCATGAAGATTTTGAGGGGTGGGAGAAGGAATTTAAAGTGGATGGCAGTGGAACCATACACAATTCAAAAGTATTCGATTATCCGTGCTGGCTGACTCAAAGATACGCTTCTCTCTCTTTCCACATACATTTATGTCTTCTCAACTTCCACCCCCCTACCTTCTCTTTGCTCAATGCACATAAGGCAGCAATAATACAATTTAGCAATCATATACGTTAAATTAAGGTGCATTTTCTTTTCCTAAACTTATTACCGTATGGTTAATAAGATGCGAAGGGTTTTGTTAAGAGGTTTGGGTGGGGGGGGGGGGAAGGAGAGACAAAATTAGTGAGGAAATCTAAGGGTTGAAAAGGTTAAGTGAGCCAATGACAAGACATGAAAATGATGGTCTGAGTCGGATTAGCATAAATGGGTGCGCCCAACTCACCTCCCTGTCTTTCCTCTGCCTATTAATTACATTATCATCTCAGATACACTCTCTGCTGCAAACAAAATCCCTTTTGACCCCACAACATATGATCATATTCGTCCCGAATGGTTAAGAGGTATTGTGTTATATTTTAAAATAAAGTCTTTCAAATATTTCATAATAGGTTTAAGAGTCATTTTTACTTCTCTAGTATATTAAATTTATCATTTTCGTATATATCGTATTTTCACATTAATTTTATCTTTAAAGTTATTTAATTGCATCATTTTATACATATCTTCTAACTTAAAACTCTAAATTATAAACTTTAAGTTAGTATTTATAGTTTAGAAGTATTAGGGTTATGGTTTAGGGTTTGTAATTTAAGGTTTTAAGTTAGGGGTAACATAATAGAAGGATGCAATTGAGCAACTCCGAGTGTTAAATTGATACGAAAATACTATAGAGGCAAAAGTGATAAATTGGATCTACTACACGGACAAAAATTACCCTTTTGCCTTTATAATAAAGATTAACTTGTTAAATTTGAAATAAGGAGGGATCTATGAGGTTTTTTTAAACAAAATTCATCATAGAAATCGATTAAAGATATTGTTAAAATCCAGGTTTACAACTTTTTCATCATTTTCCCGAGAACCAAACAGAAAATTTATTTTCCTTTCGAATAAAAATATCATTAGGGCATAAGGCATATATATTATATATGAACGGGCCTAAATAACATTCATGTACAAGTCCCTAAACTTTAGAACCTTGTATCGATCACATATCACACTTGTTATTGGACGGACCTGTTTGCGACAGATCATACATGCATCCCTTGATTTCCTTCCTTCTCCCTTTTATAAACAATTTGTTAACCAAGTGATAGTAACTTTTATGGAAGGTGGAATTTAATCCGTTGCAGTAATTACAACTCTGTTCCCCTATCCACTAGGTACTGTCGTGTGATCTTTAAATTATCTATTGGCATAATGCAAACAAATACCCTAACGTTTGACACTATATGCATTTGTGCCCAAATCGTTTTTTTAGCAGTTCTACCCACAACGTTTGATTATGAGGTATAAGTCCCCCCATTGGATGGAATCCGTCAGTCAACTGACGGTCAACGGGTCCATTTGACGTGGCATACACATGTGGCCATCGATGATGACGTGGCATTTCCATGTCATTATTTTTTGCTGATGTGGCATGTTCATATTATAGTAGATGATGATGTGGCAGATCCACAAAGACTAAATGCTAACGTGGCATGTACACATGTGATGACATGTCATTAATTTTTTTTTAAAAATAATTAATAATAAATAATTATTTTTTATTAAAATAATATCAACCAATCAAATGTTGTCACGTGGCACATGAATTTTTATTAAATTAAGAAAAAAGGGATTAAACCTCCACAAATTTTGCAATCCATGAGATTAGAACCTGGATCTAAAGAATGAAAGCCTTGATACCTAACCATCAGGCCAAGTCACTTGGTTGTTATTGAATGGCTAATAACAACATTTAAAGTATATTGTTGCTATCAAAACCACCCTTAACACAAGCACTTTTTTTTAAAAAAAAATTATAGTTAGATTTAAATTGTTATAATTATTTGAGTAAATTTAAATTATCCATAGGTCTTTTTAAATTTAAATTTATAAACCGATCTGGGGTCTTAATTAATTTTAAATTTATAAACTTTAAAAAAAATCATAGGTAAATCGATTTGGGGATAAACCATAGGTCTTTTTAAAGTTTATAAATTTAAAATTAATTAAAATTTTAAATTTCAGTTTTTTAATTTTACTTTGATTCATCAACAACAGATCTCCAATTTCAATTTCTGTCTTTAACAGTGATAGTGCTTATGGAAGATGTGAAAACAACCCTTTTCACAGTGTTGGATTTCAAGCAAGATTTTAGGAGGTTTTCAGTGCCTTTGATTGCAGGGTAAATGATATTTTAATTAATTTTAAATTTATAAACTTTAAAAATACCTATGGTTTATCTCCAGATCGATTTACCTATGTTTTTTTTAAAGTTTATAAATTTAAAATTTATTAAGTCCCCAGATCGATTTATAAATTTAAATTTAAAAAACCTATGGATAATTTAAATTTAAATCTAACTATTACTCCTTTAGCTAAGAATAAACTCGGGTTTTACATGTTCTCCTGGCTAGACTTCATATCGAAAGGAATCGTAGCCTGTTCTTCCAATATCAACATCTTTAAGGGTAAACTCTATCATTCATCACTGAATTTTAATTTATCTCCTATTTCGCTTACTATATTTTTAATTTTTTCAATTTATTCACTAAACTTTTGAAATGCTCATATTTTGATCACTCTAAATTATTTTATTATTATTTCGATATGACATGACATTTTTATTATTAATTAATATAAAAATAATTTTAAATATAAAATTAAACCTAAATGGTGGTCGATGGTGACGAGAAGGGACATTGATTATTTTAAATCATTTTAATTTTGATAATTTATTTTAAGTTATTTTTATATTTAATAATATATAAAATTGACATGTCATAGAATAATAATAATAATAATTTATAATGATCAAAACATGAGTAATTCGAAAATTCAATGAGTCAATTGAAAAAATTAAAAGTACAGTGAATGAAATAAGAGGGAGAGAGAGAGAGAGAAAGTAAAATTCAGTGATAAATAGTGTACTTTACCCTATCTTTGAATCGTATTCAAATGTTGGGAGCTGGATGATTCACAAGCATATGCTTAAACAGAATATATATATAATTCTAATTTTGAAATGATATACGGTATATTGGTCATGTTCGTACTAATTAGATGGAGAATATTATTATGCTTTTACTTAGCATATCCTTTCACATGAGGGCATCATCCTTTGGTTTCGGAATGTCTGGTAACTGATATACGTAAATATATTCTTATTCCGGTAAGCATATGGGAACCAAATTGCTGTTAAATATGCGTGGTGGAATTAATATGGGAAAAAGACTGAGATTGATGCACACCTGAATTAATTAATTAATTAATTAATTACAAAAATATATTCTACCAAATCTCGGGTCTATATTCCTCTGCTCCGACACATGTTTAAGCATCGTAATCTTGGAAAAATCTAATTAATTAATAGAATTTAGTACCATGTGTTGTAGGAAAAGGCCTATTGAGTGAATGTGATGTTCGATCCATTGTGCCCCCAACAATTTGAAGGAAAAGAAAGGCCTTTGATTATCATATAAATTTACAAAGATTAAAGAGGACTCGTCATCTTCTTGATTATCATTAATCTAACAATAAACCAATGAAAGTCCGCTAAACTACTCCAAAATTATCGGCTTCTAAGGATGTAGCCCTTCACGCTAAGCACATAATAGTCCATTATAAACCACCATGGTATAATTAGCCCTTCTTTTATTGTTTTTTTTATAAAATTTATGTTTGAGTATTTACGTCTGTAAGGGCCGACGAGCATTGGCACAAGTGGTTGAGATTTAAGAATTTGAACTTGTAAGGCCAAATTTGAATCCCACCACCGTCACTCTTGGTGGAAAATCTTATGTAAATCCCAATTGGGTATTAGGTATGCCCTGGCAATGGATTGGGGGAGCCACCCCTGACCTAAATTTTTTTTTACCAAAAAAATTTATCCCTATAAGGTATACATTATTAAGAAATTAAGAAATTTTTTGATTAAATATTATCTTATAATCACTCTAGACTATTAAAAAGTAGGATTTAAATATTGAATAGTAACTTTTAATTGTTTTATTTGAAAATATATAAAAATAAGAATATTTTTATAATTGTGTTAATTATTTATTAAAAATAAATATTTTAATATTTCTCAACGAAACTGATGCTCAATTAATTCATATTACTAACTGAATCAGAATTGTATAGAAAAATAAAGACATATATATGGGTATTTGATACATTAGATTAAAGTATTTAATTGGGCTTGTTTTATGGCCTGCAGATAAAATAATAGAAATAAAAAACTTAATAGAAGAATAGGATAGGTCAATATTTGTTTTTTCGGGTCAATAGGGTAAACGGGTAAATTATTTGGGAAAATAAGATAAGTAGAAATTTATTTAGGGATTTATAGCATTTACTACAGTTTTCATGGAACTCGTCACCTCGACGTGAAGAGCTCTAATAAAATATAATTTTTTAATTAAATTTTATTACATCAGAATAAAATGTTTAAATAAAAAATATTTTTTATTGAAAGTCGTCAGCATGACGTGACAAGTTTCAAGTCACTGTAACAGATGTCGTAGATCCCTAATTAAACTTTTAGATGCCCTATTGAGATAATTAATTAAATTGTTTGCCCAATTGAGCCCAAAAAAAAACCCAGTCAATATTAGATTAAATGCAATAAATCATTGAGCTTCTTAAGGATTGGGCCTAAGACATAATGACAAAATGATTATTTAACGTTTGTATAAATAGTCACTTTATTTTTTTTGTTAGAGCATTTTATCCTCCTATAGTATTTTAATTTTTGATAAAAATAAATATTGTTAGATGAAAATCGTTATTTAACATTGTAAATGATAATTTGATCAAAAACTGAAACGTTAAATATTAAAATACTCTAATAAAAAAATTAGGAATAAAAAGATAATTTATACTAGAAATAATTTTGTCAATATGCCTTGCGAATGATGTAGGGCTGATTTAGGAATTAGGTCTCTTGGCTGGCTGCAAGATCGTGCTGTCAATTTACCAGTTGAAGCCAACGGACGTTTCTTTCGGCAGGATTCATGTACGATCTTTGAGAAAGAGTAGTGCTCAACAGTGGTAGATTCAGAAATTTAAGAATGAAGTCTATAATTTTATTTTATTTTTTCTTAAAATTATGAGTATGTAAAAATTATATTTTTTTTCTTTTTTCCTTAATACATTAAGATAAATTTAACTACTTTTCTAAAATAATAGAATGCACTTGAATCCTATGGGACTTAGTGCATTTGCATCTGCCACTGGTGCTGAGATGCGTCTGGTGTTAACATTGTTCACACAGTTTGGCATATGTTCTTGCATGGTTGACTCACAATAGCAAAATGGGGTTATAGAACATTTTTAGTGGTATATTTTGAACAAACACAGCAAAATATTCTTAATTTAGTGACATTTTATACTTATACTCATATTTTAGTGGCATTTGTATAAAAACGCAGCTATATATGTATTTTATCCTTTTTAAAATCTCTTCCTTCCAAGGGAACGGACGTAAAAATCGAGCGTGAATCGGGTTTTGCCATGGCCCGGATTTTCCAGAGTTGAAATTTGCATAATTTGCTTGGATTTTCAATTTGATATTCTCATGAAAGTCTGATTCTCCGAGGAATTGAAAGGAGTCCACAGATTTTCCCTCTCTTTTTTTCGTTCATTGCGTCAGGTCTCTCTCTCTCAAATGAAGTCTTTAGTATTCATGAATAAAATATAATTTTTTAATTAAATTTTATTATATTAAAATAAAAAGTTTAAATAAAAAATATTTTTTATTAGAATTCGCTATCACGACGTGAGAGTTTCAAGTCACTGTAACAAATATTGTAAATTTCTAAATAAACTTTTATGTGCCTTATTGGGCAAAACTTTCGAGATAATGTTCTGAAAGAAATTAATTCACGAGCTAATGCACTCCCAAAATTAATTGCTCAAATAGGGTGAAATCCACAGTGTTGGTCGTAGGTCGCCATGCCTTCCGGGCGACCTACTAGGTCGCCATGTCTTCCCGGCGACCTACAAGAGATTGCATGTTCCATGCACGTCCCAACACGCTGGGCATCTGAGGCCATCCGACCGAGGCCATCCGAGAGCATCCGAGGCCATCCGACCGAGGCCATCCGAACGAGCTATGCGAGGGCATCCGAGGGAAACCGAGCGAGCTATGCGAGGGAATCCGAGGGCAACCGAGCGAGGGTAGGTCGCCATGCACTCCGGGCGACCTACCCTCGCTCAGTTGCCCTCGCATAGCTCGTTCGGATGGCCTCGGATGCTCTCGGATGCTTTCAGATGGCCTCGGTCGGATGGCCTCGGATCATGCAATCTCTTGTAGCTCGCCGGGAAGACATGGCGACCTACGGCCAACACTGTGGATTTCACCTTATTTGAGCAATTAATCTTGGGAGTGCTTTATCTCGTGAATTAATTTTTTCTAGAACATTATCTCGAAATTTTTGCCGCCTTATTGGGCTAATTAATTAAATTGTTTGCCCAATTGTGCCAAAAAACCCTATCAATATTAGATTAAATACAATAAATCATTGACCTTCTTAATAAATGGTTGTCTCTTGTTCCCATATGTAATGGGGTAAGGGGAGGTAAGATAGTAGGATGTCCCCAACACTAGGTTGAGAGCAGCTTCCGTAAGAGACCTCCGAATGATTGAGATTAACTTGAGACATAATGACAAAATGATTCTCCAACGTTTGCACAAATGATCACTATGTTTTTTTTAGCATTTTAATCTATATAGTATTTCAATTTTTGGTCAAAATAAACATTGTTAGATGAAAATCGTTAATTGACTAACGATAAACTCATGTTGATGATGTAATATTATCACAAATGTTCAATTGGTAACATAACATGTATGGATGGATCTAGGCAGGGCAGGTGGGGGCGGTTGCCCCCTAAAAATTTAAAAATTACCATATATTATCTATATATTTTCTATTGAAAATTTGTTTTTGCCCCCTATAATTTTATAAGTTCAAGTTCACCCCTAACATAAAATCTTGTGTCCGCCTCTGATAGCATGTACCACATCAATAATTGAGAACACATGAAAATATTACATCACGAACATGAATTGACTAGTCAATTAACGATTCTTATAAGATTTATTTTGATCAAAAATTGAAACGTTAAATAATAAAATATTCTAATAAAAAATAGGAACAAAAAGATAATATATACAGACGTTAGAAATAATTTTGTCAATATGCCTTTGCCAATAATGTAGGATTGATTTAGGAGTTAGGTCTCTTGGCTGGCTGCAAGGTCGTGACCTCAATTTACCGGTTGACGCCAACGGACGATTCTTTTGGCAGGATTCATGTACGACCTTGAGAAGGAGTAGTGCTGCGATGCGTCTGGTGTTAACATTATTCACACAGTTTGGCATATGTTCTTGCTTGGTTGACTTAACATAACTCAGTGTAGTCGAATCGAGTTTGAGTTGCGATAAGTTCGAGCTTAAATTTGAGTTAGATTTAAAATTTGAGATTTGATATTAGGTTTGAATTTAGTCAAATATCAAGTTTTACATTCATGATTGGCTCTAGATATAATCGAATTACTCGAGCTCGATTAAATTTGTTTATCGATTTTTTTTTACCTAAACTCAAACTCGAATTCAATTAAGCTTATTTATATTTAAAAGTAATATATAATAAAGGTAGAAATGTAATTTAACAACAAAAAGTATTAAAATTGGAAAGCTCAATTAAGCTCGTAAAAGTTTATGTTTATATTATACTGTATAATACTCCTGTACTGATAGTTAATGATTTCTTATTTAATTAGTGCAGTATCTTTGTGAAAGTAACTTACAAGAAAACCCTAATTAGTTAAGTTTCCCTGATCATAACATAAACATACACACACATATCTTATATAGCTTTAGATATTCATGATCTTAAGTCATAAAAATCCACTCTCGCATCGGAGCTGGTAACTACTCCTTGGTCGCCGCTTTCCCGCCTTTTCCCTGCGGTGAACGCAAATCCATCAGAAACCAGTACGTGAACGCATTATCATCCCTCACAATCACAATAACATCATACAGTTTACCTTCTTGGCGGCGGCCTTTTTCGGTTCCTGAGGCTTCTGAGCAGCCTTCCTGGCGGCGGGCTTGGAAGCGGCGGCTTTGGAGGAAGCATCAGAGGCCTTTGAAGCTGAAGCTTCCTTCTTCACCTGCCCAGAGAGTTGGGTGCCAACAGGTTTCTCAGCCTTCATTGATGCCATTGCTAGCTCTTGGGAAATGAAAATGAAAATTAGGTGGTTTCTGCATGTATATATAGAAGGTTTTGGCAGCAGAGCCGAGTGGCCAGTGACTTGAGGAATGAGAATCGGTGGGGTTAACAGAGATTAGAAGGCCGATAAGTTGGGTGGTGGAAGTTAAAAGAGAATATGGAATAACTCACATCAAGACATGGGATATGATGTGGACACACAAACTTTAACTATTCTTAGTTATTATTTTACAGTATCTGATTCAGATACTTTGCTTAGAATTTTTTTGCCTGGTTTTTTAACTACTTTATATTACTTCATAATACATACATTCCCAGGAAAGAATATATATTTGATTGGTAAGGATAGAATAAATACAGTAGACATAGATCGATAAGAATTTGTAAGTGAAAAAGTAAATAATATAACTAGGGATGGGCATGGGTCGGGTTTTTGGTCCACCCGACCCGACCCGAAAACAAGGTGTCCTCCACTCGAGACCCGACCAAAACAAGTTTTCACCCGACCTAACCCGATACAATATATAACTTAAAAACCCGGCCCGACCCGAAATAATAAAAAAATAATTTTTATTTAATAAAAACAGTAACTTAATTGAAAAAAATAATATATAGAGGGGTATTATTGTAATTATTCCTAAATATATAAAGTAAAATTATATATTTTTTGGATAGAGTAATTTTCACCCTAAATCCGAACCCGACCCGAAACCGAAATTAAAAAAAAATCTGATCCGATCGGGTCGGAACCCGTCAAGTTCGGATCCCATGTCCATCCCTAAATATAACTTTTCCGATATAGGTTATAATACACTAACGGATTAGGATATAATTATATAGTGTAAAACTTTTAAGATCATTAAATAATGGAAAATTAAAGGATAAGACTAATAGTAGTAAATGAGAAGATATTCACTAGAAAAAAAATAAAAAAAATCTTAACATTTAATTTATCCTCGTCCAACGATCCCAAAAGGGTTAAAAAATTTACTAAGTGTAAGTATATACCAATCTATCCTTGAGCGTTGGCACAAATAGTTGTAATTCAGAAATTTGAGTTTGTAAGGTCAAGTTTTAATCCAATCACCATCACTCTTAGTGGGCAATCTATAGATTCATGTGTAAATTCTAATTAGATCTTAGGTATGTCCTGACCCTGAACTCTGTAGCAATCACCTTTAATCTAATTTTTTTTGTTAAAAAAATGCTAGTCCCATAATAATAATCGAACAAGTAAGAACAATTTGATACCATGTTTATGTTTATACTATTCAAATGTCTTTTCGTCCATAAATCGAAGGATGTTAAATACTTAAACATATTTGATCTTAAGTCCTCTTGAATATTATATCAATAATGATTCCAACCTTGTTCCAAAAATAAAATAATAATAATGATTCCAACCGAATTAAATTCAATCTATATATATTTTATAGATTTTTATTTTTTAACAAAGAAGGTAGGGTAAAAATAAATGACTAATATTGTAAAGTATTAGTCTCTTGTTAGTTTGAAATATATACTTTTTTAATCCCCATATCCTTTCACGTAAATAAATATTGCGATATATTGTTTAAAATTATTTAAGTTTATTGTAGTATAGTAAGAGCCTTCTAGAAGGTGGTTTATACCTGGGGTTGTTAGGCAGTTAGCCTTCTAGGGTAACTGCATGCTATTATGTACTTTAAATAGCTGCGTACGTCCTTGTATTGAGATAGGGGTTTTCTGATAAATAACAAAATACTGTCAAGAGGTTTCTTTGGTTATTCAACATGGTATCACGAGCTTTTCGATCCTTGGAGTCTTCTCTTCTTGATTGAGTGCTGAGATTTACTTTGCTTCAAGTTCGTTAGAGTTCTCTTTGGAAATGCCGTCGTTGTACGAGTCCACCTCCGATGGTGTGGTGAGGTCTGATGCTTCCAGTTTCAGATCTGAGAAAATGTTCACAAACAAGCGTATAAGTATTGTTTTAGATGAGCTCAATTTTCTCCTCTCGAAGCAACAAATTCCCTTGGCCGTCCGCAGTCACCGCTTGGAAAAGCTGTTGGTCGGTGCTGTCTCGCCTCCTCCGGCCACGGTTACTCTTGATAACGGCGATGTCATCGAGAACGAGGATTATGAAATCTTTATGGCTCAGGATAGTGCACTAGCCTCTTGGCTCTTAACCACGGTGAGTCCTTCGTTGTTACCTCATTTTGTTGGTGCGGAGTCAGAGGCCGATGTTTGGAAAACGGTTCATGGATTGTTTGCTAGTCGATCCACGACTACTGTTATGAGTTAGCTTTACAAACTGAAAATGGCGGAGAAGGGGGAGTTAAGCATGTGTGCTTACATCTCCCATGTTAAAGAGATCTGTGACGCTTTAGTAGCGTGTGGCAGCCCGGTTTCAGAGAATCAGCGAGTTGTGATAATTTTGGGGGTCTACCGTCGGAGTATAAGCTGTTCATAGCGGTTATTACAATGAATAAGGAGCCATATACTCTAGACTCGCTTGTTTCAGTTCTCGTTGATGCGTAAACCCAGTTGTATAGCTTTGATCAAAGGTGATGGTTTCATTGCTAGTTCTAATGTAGCCTAGATCATCGGCCCAGGAGTTCTGATCATGTTTTCAATGTTCGTCATGATCGTTCTTTGGTGACTCAAGGAGGCTGAGGGAGTGGCAGAGTTAAGTTGCAATGTCAATTGTGTCATGTGTGGCAAAGTTGGGTATCTTGTTGACAGGTGTTGGTATAGGTTTGAAAAAACCTTTCCTGGGGTGACTGTTAGGAGTGTCGATTCGTCCTCTAGTGGTTCGATACCCTCGGAAACTGTTAGTTTTGCCCAGTCTAATGCTACTCCAGTGGGGTACTATTGTGTTGGTCATTATGGTGTGTAACCTTCGGTTGCTGTGGCTAGCTATGGCAAAGATCTTAATTCAAGTGTTGCGGTCTCTTCCTAACCAGCTCAGTGGTTTATTGATTCGGAGGCGACTCATCACATGACGTCCAATGATGCTAAAGTTCTAGATGACTCGGCTAATAACGGGGCTGGTAAGGTTCTTGTTGGTAATGGCAGTAATTTAAATATTATTAAAATATGATAGTCGTCTTGAACAACGTCTTCTCGTATGTTGAATCTCAATCATTTGTTGCATGTTCCTCACATTACTAAAAAGTTAGTTTCAGTGTCTAAGCTTGCTAGAGACAACTAGGTTTTCCTTGAGTTCCATGTTGATCGTTGTTTGATTCGTGATGAAGAGTCGAGGGATGTGCCGCTGGAAGGAAAAGAAGTTGATGGATTATACCAATTTGGTTCAATTGCTTTTGATAATAAGACTGTAAATTTTCAATCCAATGTTACTAGTGCTTCTAGTTTGTTATATGAAACGTGGCATAGAAGACTAGGTCACCCTACTCGTGATGTTGTGGTTTGAGTAGGTCATAAATGTAATCTTCACTAGTCTCACAAAATGAATAAAGATGTTTATGTTGCTGTGGAATTCGGGTTAATTTCCACCAATAATAACAAATTCACCTTGAAAATGATTGTACTAAAAATGACCACAAGGTAGATTCACAGGAAAGAGTAGAGGAGTCACAATGGTCCCTCTTAAAACCCACTCTTCTCAAACAGAACTACCAAGACAAGTAATTTTAATAGGATAATAATTAACAACAACTATACCCGACAATAGCTATTAAATAGACATAAAAGATAACACCAAAATTTAACGAGGTTCGGCCAAAATTATGCCTATGTCCTCGAACACTACTAAAATAATATTTCACTAATAGAGGAAATATTACAGAGAGATAAAGAGTACAAATAGCCTTTAATATATAAGAAGGCTTATATTTGTGGGATGCTAAACTAAAGAGGAGGAGGGCTCTATTTATAACAAAAGAATTTCCCCTCCTCCTTATACAAAACCAATGTTGGATTCAAAATTTGCCAAAAAACCAACAAATCTCCAACTTGGCAAATTCCACACACATCTCTCAAAAATCCAATCTTCAGTAGTGTCTACAAATTCATCTTTCAATTTGTAACAATATTGACCAAGTCTAAACAATGTTTAAACTTGACCGCAGTTACCACTTTTGTCAACATATCAGCAAAATTCTCAGTGGTCCGAATCTTCTGGATTATGACTCCACCTTCTTTTAGATTCTTTCGTATAAAGTGATATCAAACATCGATGTGCTTCGTCCTTGCATGGTAAACCTGGTTCTTTGCTAAATGAATAGCACTCTGATTGTCATAGTGCACTTTGATGTGCTTCTGTTCCATTCCCAATTTACCAAGCAACCCTTGAAGCCAAATTGCCTCATTCACAGCCTCTGTAACTGCCATATACTCTGCCTCTATAGTAGACAAAGCAAATTTTGACTGTAAGGTGGACTTCTAACTGACTGGTGCCTTTGCAAATGTAAACACATAACCAGTAGTTGATCGACGCTTGTCCAAATCACCTGCATAGTCTGAATCACAATACCCAACTACACACTGACCATCTTGTTTATCCTGCTGAAAGACCAAACCAACATCTACGATGTTCAGAATATACCGCATAATCCATTTCACAGCTTGCCAATGCTTCTTTCCAGAATCATGCATATACATGTTCACAACCCCAACTGCCTGTGAAATATCGGGTCTCGTACACACCATTGCATAAATCAAGCTACCAACAACACTTGCATACGGAACCTTTGACATGTATTCCCGTTCTGCATCATCCTTAGGTGACATGGATGCACCGAGCTTGAAATGAGGAGCAAGAGGTGTACTAACTGGTTTTGACTTCTTATTCATGCCAAAACGTTTTAGTACCTTCCTCAGATATTCTTTTTGAGACAAACAAAGCCTTCCCAATTTCTTATTCCTTGATATCTCCATGCCTAGAATCTTCTTCGCTTCACTAAGATCCTTCATCTCAAACTCACTGTTCAGTTGAGTCTTTATTTTCGCAATTTCTGTATGACTTCTGGAAGCTATCAACATATCATCAACATAAAGAAGAAGATATATATAAGATCCATCTTGTAGCTTGCGTAAATAAACAC